TTAATGGATGCACCACCCTAACAAGGTACATTCAATTACCAAAACGTTATTTAGTCGGTCATTCAGGCCGTATGGACATCGCTCTGCTTGAGAATAAGCGCTATCGCAAATCAAGCTTATCATGCTTTCGTTTCAGTATATTTGGATGAGTGGAATGTTGGCGGACAACTACTGTTTGAATTTCCTCAGGCAGTTGATCTTGTCGTTATACTGTCCCAATTTCTTTACCACATTTATTTTTACAGTGCTGTTTGTGCTTTCCCCACTTATGACCTTGAAACCCCATTAGTTGTTGACTGTTTTAGCTTACCAGTGTAACCAGTGTCTCGCAAGGCCATTCAAAGCATACGCAACTGCTGTTGACACTTTTCGCTGGTGATTAGAGACAGTAAAAGCTACCTACGTTAACGGCCTGTCTTCTTGCCTTCTTGCATCGCGGGTTCGGTGGTGTCGTATCGTGTCGTTGTTGTAGCTGTCAAAATACTTGCATTACGGGCCTGGGGAAATTCTGTGATCTTATCAGACGTTACGTTCAACTGCCTTAAAGTTGTTCTGCCAACATTTCTACGCAGCTAGAATATCTCTTGTGACGTTTGCGATGCTACGCGTGAAAACACCCCGTGACAGTCCTTACTCCAACTCCATTGCCCTTCATAAGAGAAGATTGATGTTCGCACCATTTCCCTGACAAGATTGAGTTAAACACAGTGGGCACGTATCCAGACAACAGGCGGAGAGACAGCATTTTGGTAACAAGCGTTGTGCACCACAGGGATTTTACAGAAAGCATACTGCGCTTTGAAGGACGCTGAAACTAATAAGATGCTTTGAGCGTTCACCCTTTTTTGGTGGCCCTAACAATGGTGGGACATTCAAGACTTTGCTCGTAGTTGTGTAGCACGTGGTGAGCTAAAGAAAACTTGGAATGCCGCATAACAATACAGTGGCTGAATACCTGAATTAGATAGTTGGTGTGGGTACCACAGGATGAAAACGAGAGAAATCAAGTGGTTTGAACTGATTCGGCTCTCTGAGGTGAGTTCAAACGGGCACACCACTGGTGAACTCAGCTGCAAATGATCGAAACGGTGTCAGGTGTTTAGATCACCCCAATCCTGCTAGTGGTATGGGACTATTCATCTCAATCAATCAGCAGTATGTAGGTTTATGCGAATACGAGAGAAGAGGTATGGGCACAAATACATCCTAGTTATTGTGCACTATTTTCTGAAATGGCGGGGGCCTATGTCCCTCGAACGAACTGGTGCTTATAGTGTCGCTGAAGTTTTGTTCGCCTGCTGGATTATCATCATGAGGGGAGACAGAACCATCATATTCTGACCAGAGGACTTATTTCAAAAATCTGGAACTACAGCATTTCATTCTGAAGGCCATGGGTTTGAAGAACGTTCGAATCGAACCCTTAAGACACTACTTAAAACATTTTTGGAGGCAGAACAGCATCAGCCTGGGATGCTTTGTTATCATGATGCCTATCAACTTGCTGGAGTGGCACATATTTGTTTACTGAAAAACACCAAACCTTCTTCAGGCTGATCGTGAGTTATGCCCACCCATTGATACGTTCACTAATGAGATGACCCCTGAATGTTCTGGAAATGACAATGAAACTACAGGGGAATAGAAGCATGTACAGTAGTTTCACAAAAGAAGGACTTCAGAGAGCACAGGAGAGGTGAACATAGTATTATGACAGGACTAAGTGAGGAAGACCATCAGAAACATGTGGCAGACCATGGATTCGACAAACAGGGAACGACAACGGGCGTCGAAGTAAATCCTAAATGCAGTGAACCAGCCCATATACACTGAACCGCCAAGTAACAAAAATATGTATGAAATGCATGAAGAGGAGAATAATGATACAGAGAGTATAATAGTACGTTTTGATTAGTCGAAACTAATCAGACAAAACGGATAGGCACCGAGTATTAATCCTGTTCCTATTAATAATCACCATAACCAGGAGTGATGCATCAGAAGGAAGAACCAGAGATGTGGCAGCTGAGGAAAGCTTTTTTAAAAAGAAGGTAATGTGGTAATCATTGTTTTAAGAGGGTGAGTGTTAAGTCTGAGGATCATAGGACGGCATCCGGAGGTTTCAAACAGCCTAGTTTGTTTTGTTGTATGAAATCGATTGCCCTTTTGTTACTGCTAAAGTTACCTCTACCACTATCTGTGGCTTTCTACCCCATTACATATAGCTATAGCGTTGCATATTATACTGTGGATAGCCTTTGACATAGCTCCACTATCATTTCTGATTAAGGTCAGTGACACTGCATTTGACGACATTCAACCCTAGACACCTCAAAATTTGAGTACCATATTCTAGACAAATTCTGTACTTTAGATTTGACATGTAACTCAAGCATTTGGTTTATTCAATTACTATTGTCGTTCCGTATTTCTGAGAAGACATATTCAGCCAACCTGTGTTGAAACTGATATTAATACGAACACATTCTTCTGATTTTATACTGTCTAACAAATGGTCACCCAGAAGTCATAAATAGATGCCAAGTACTGCTGACTGACTGAAATCAATAGTTGGATACCACGCACATCGACCAGTAGTGCTTGCTAGCTAGATTGAAGTGATATAAACGCTAAACGGTCATTTCGCTGTTGTAGAGTTGATCTCATGAGTGGTATATCCGGTTCAACTCAGCCCAGAGAGTTCAGTCATTTCAATCTGCCCCAATTCTAGCTAGTTACCTAGGCTCACAGGTAATACATTCGATTAAATTCGAAATTTAAACAGTTTAAGGTGAAATTTCATCAAAGTTTCCTTTGGTCGATGTAAGTGGCAGCCAACTACTCATATCAACCAATCAGTAGTATGTGACACCATGTATCTATTCTCACATTCCTAATTAACATTTATGATATTAAGCAGATCGCATGTTATGATCTAAATAATTTCACTTGCCGAAGGAAATTGGTGAAATTTCACCTCCTAGAACTGTGTAAATTGCGAATCACAGACTTGATCATGGCTTAGCATTATATACGAGTTTCTAAGGGTTAATTACTGTCACTTATTTTTATCGTCAATCTCTATTCATCTTATTATCCCCTCTACCTTCTGTTCACCAAGTATCCATCCATTTCCTCCTTTTATGGTTTTGTAAACGATCGCGAGAGGAATTGATGAATTGGACTGAATCATTGACTGTTGAACCTTTCGTGCGCACATCCTAAGCTTTTCTCATCATGAAGAAAAATAAAGTATTTATATTCCTAAAAATTTCTTATTCTTTCTTTTAATTTTAATTTAGTTCTTTGCTTTAATAATTAATTCACTATTATCCTCTATATGCTCCTTCTTACATTTCACACCTCTTCACACTTGTTAAAATTGACACTCAATACTTTATCTCTTTGCCGTTGAGTACACGTAATTTACAACTTTTAATTTTCACTTCTGAAGCACTTCTGGTAATTATATCAATTATGTCACCCCCTATTACTCAATAATAGACCACTATATATTTTTGGTAAGTATAAATACGACTGTACAGCCTCTGAAAATGATTCTCGATAAAGAAAATTTTCTTCGCTGAATTTGTCTTTTATTTTCTTCATGACAAGTATTTATATTCCCCTAATCACCACCAACAAATCTATCTCAGAAGCTTGAAAATAACCCTGGAGCAGTCAGTCACATTATTCATCATGAAAACAGTGCACATATTACGTTCGATTGTTTAGTCTTCATTTGATTTCTTCGCCCTTGTCTACACATTAAAATTACCCATTATGTTTAACTTTGGAACTTTATTACCATATTTTAGGTGGAATAAGGCTGTATACATGAACCTGTGGGAATACAGTTAACTAACAAATTTACTTAGATTGTGAAATTTGTAGGGGTTTGGACCAATTTTTTGTTTAGATTTCGTCCTGAACAGGTATCAGATCATTGATAACTACTGGGTGGATGTCCTTAGGCTGTTGTGAGAAGTTATAATCAATGAGGTCTATCCTGTCCAGATGAACAAGGGTGCTAACTGAAGGCATCCGTAAGAGGGTAGCGTTATATCGCGAACTGAAAGAAGTTACTATCCATCGGTCATTGGCTGGATGGTCAACAAGTTTGATCCCATAACTTGAATTTCCTAGATTCAATCCCTAATAGGCATATGGGTATGAACTTCCGAAGAGTCCTAAAATAGGATGAAACAAGTGTCCAGTGTTGTCTGGTTCTCAATGTCCTCTAATTGGTGTTGATTCTTGACGAAGTCTGACAATTGAAATTAAAAAAATGTGTACACCAGTTTTAACTCTTCTTGTTTACTCTAATTGGTTCTGCAAGGTTATTTAAAGGAGGGCGGGGGTACTTCGTTGTGATGTGGCTGCTGATAGTTAGAATTCGCCACCCCACCTAATGTATGATGAAAGTAACCCTTTAAAATGACAAAAAATAAATATTTTTTCTTTTTTTGTAAAAATAAAAGATATATATGTATATCTTCACCACCAAGAGAAAATAACAAATAAATAATCATAGTATATAAGATAGTAGCAATAAATTGTTACAAAAACAGTTACTACTACTGACGTGAGTAGTAAGTATTATCAAAAAATGGATAGGAATTGAATCTTTTTTTTTAGTAATCTGATAAAAAGTAATGTACATAACATTAAAAATATCACAGATGTTTTTTTTCAACAAGTAACGCATTAAAAATTCAACAAGGAACTACAGCTGTAGACTTTGAGAAGACAGATTACACGGGTCAATTGTTTATTCTTACCAATGTTTTATAAAGTGTAGGAGAGTTAAAAAAAAGAAGATGCTTGTCAAAGCAACGTACTGTCGATAAAACAAACAAACAAACAGCCAGGAGAAAGTAAACAAAATAGTAACTTTTAAGGTTTTCTCATTGTTTTAATCATTTACACTGTCATTATTCAATTGGTTAGTTCCCTGTAAATTGAACAGTTTAGTTTTATAAATACAAAAACAAATCACTTTATTGGTCATTCGTTAAATGTTGTAATTGAAAAACGAAGCTGCGCGCCAATTCAAGCAATGTTATAGCATCATGTTGTTCAGTTAATTCTATAATGAAATAAACAAAGAGGAGAAAAAAAAACAACGACAAGTTGATTGAAGTAACCTGAAGCCACTTAGTATTATTATATTGGATGGTTCAACGAAAAGAAGGTTTATCATGTTGAGATTGTGGAAATTGGATAGGTTCATAAAAGATTTAAGAGATGTAACAGTGAGGAGGATTTTCTGTTTCCATGATTCATTTTCGAAATTTTCTGTACACTTGTATTTAGGTAAGTCTAAACTATAGAGATGCAAAACAACATAACTTAGTAAACCATAGCAAGTGAAGCAGAACAAGCACCAGGCAAAGGAGACCTCGCAACACTCTACCAAACAACTAGGTACCTATCGGGAAAAAGTTTGACACAAATTAAGCCAGTGAAGGATGACAATGGAATGTCACTCACCAAGGAAGTGGAGCAAAGGAAACACTGGGCTGAACACTTCAAAAGACTCCTAAATCGACCACCACCTACAACGCGCCCAACAATACCAACGACGGAGACAGAGATACCAGTGAACACCAACTCCCGGACGAACTCAGAAGTCCTGAAAGCAATCAAGATGCTAAAAGCCTGAAAAGCAGCAGGACCAGATGGAATCCCAGCAGAAGCATTGAAAATGGACCCAGAGACAACAGCGGACTTGATGACGCCACTACTGGAGAAGGTATGGAAAGAGGGCAAAGTACCCGAGGATTGGAAGAAAGGATACTTATTCAAACTACCAAAGAAAGGAGACCTAAGTCAATGCAAGAACTGGCGCGGAATTATGCTCCTGTCCATCCGAAGCAAAATACTAAGCCGCATCATCCTGGAGAGAATCAAACATGTCCTGGATGAAAAACTTCCACCGGAACAGGCTGGATTCAGGAGAAATAAGCCATGTATTGATCAGATCGTATCATCATTGAACAAAGCTTGGAATGGCAGTCACTTCTCTATCTCAACTTCATCGACTTTGAAAAGGCCTTCGACGGCGTCGATCGAGAGGTGCTTTGGCAACTACTTCGTTTCTGACTGCCTCTATAGCCATATTTATTGGCGAAATGTTTAAATGACAGAGCACAAAAATTAAGTAGTACCAAAGAAAATCTAAACCAAGAACTGATACATATAAAAGAAGCCTTGAAACTTAATAATTACCCGGATAAATTAGTCAGGAAATATGTAAGGATATGTAAAAATAAAATAAATAATGATAATAGCGATAGTGATAATAACAATAATAATGATAATGATAATAGTGACAATAATAATAATATTGATGACGACACCAACAATAAAGAGTCTAAATCATCAGTAGTAATTCCATACAAGGAAGGAACCTCGGAAGCCTTACGCAGAATTCTTAACAAGGTAGGAATAAAAACGGCATTCAAACCCACAAACTCAATTAGAAACAAGCTTTGTCGGCTAAAGGATCCTGTAGAGCCTTTAAAACAAAACAATTTAGTTTATCTAATACCCTGTCTGCGATGATTGTCAGGTCAAATACATAGGTCAAACTAGTAGAACAGGGGCAGTCAGACTAGCTGAACATAAAAACTTAGCAAAATCTAGATTGGTTGACCCGAATAAAATAAGAAATCTAGAGAATAGTTCAGCTATAGCACTACATGCAGTCACACACAACCGTACAAAAGGATGGATGGGATAGGATGACAGTTTTAAAATCTAATGTCACAGGGTATAGGGAGAGATTGATAACAGAAGCTTTGTGTATCGAATCAACTGCAAATACGTGTAATAGGAATGATTCATCACCTGTCCCAGATATCTGGAAAATTCTACTCCCCCTACGACAAATAGGAGAGAACAAAGAAAACTATACAACTCAAGTGTTAAAGTCGTGTGATCACAATTGATATGATTAGGAACAATAGATTTTGTTCGAAACGTCATCCAGTAAATAATACTGTCTCATCACTGTGTGATATACCTAATAAACAAACTAATATGGAAGAAGCTTCCTATAGCCCTATTATCCCGACAGTACTCAAATAATACCTCTTGATGGAGTTTACAACGTGATTCATGTACTGCATCTACATTTCCGCCTATTTAGTACAAACTCATCTGGTTGGTTGACCAAGGTCATTACGTCCGTTTATTAGGTTTGGGTCACTATAGTTTGGAGTTGCCCACATTTATTATATTTAATCGATAACTCCAAAAAATATCAAATCAGATACCGGAAATTATATTCTGGGGAGTGTTTTATGTAATTTAGTGTGTATAATTTAGAAAGAAATGCACAATGCAAAGAAATGCACACACTAATTTTATATTTCATATCTTGTGGTGCATTGTTAAAAAATGTAAACGCAAGGCTGTTCTTTTTTATTTTTTGGCTGTTGCTTTTTGATTTTAAATCTTATAAAATTTATGAGGTAATTAGATGCAATATTGTAATGCACGCTGAAAATTCCATACCTGTACCACAAATACTGTTTGGAATAAAGCCATTATTATGATTATTAAAATTAGAAGTTAGTGCTACATAACAGTTGAAATGAACCTTGAGTTATGCATATTAGTCACTGAACTATTTGCATAAAAAGAAGTCATCATTGATTCTAGATTCTTAAACTTCGAATATACAGTGATAAATAATTCCGCGAAATCATAAGTCTGCAACATTCTTCACTCAACATTGGATGCTGACCTTCACTGTATACGTCGGCTGGTTGAGCTGAAGGGACGTGGTCAAGTACCCACGCCATCTGGAACTCTGTCTTGTTACGTTTGATTGTTTGTGCACAACTCTTGGCTAGTTAAGCAGTCATCACTGACGTAAATTACTGATCCTGAAATATATCTCGTATTTTGGATGAGCAATTTATTGTTTCGACTTGTCTTTGGTCTAAGCAGAACAAATATTTTGGGAGTTACAGGATAAACCTTTGGGTTTAAATATAGGGTATCTTGTGTAAACGTCAGAATCCTTCATCAACTAAAGTGGTGTGCCCTACGCTCCTCTAGGAACTAAAGGAAACAGTATTAACAATAATAATAATAGTATACATAACTGGTCTTTTATACTTGGATGAGATCTGTGTTAAGTTTTGTATTCAAATTGACTTAAACGCATTCATTCGTAACCAAATCTACCTTGACTTGTATGGTAATAAATGGTACATCTGTACGTCTTACTGTCCAACTTAACGATTTCATGGAACTATATGGCCTTCATCAGTACCGTAAATAAAGACAGCTAACATTCAGTATGTGCGTGTGCACAGCGGTAGAGTACTCACCGACCACGCTTCACGTGGTCCGGGGTTCGATCCCCGGCCACCAACGCACTCCTTTACCTCTCTAAGTCAGTAGTAAGACTGGTAAAGAGGAAAGGTTGGGCATGAGACTAGCAACCGCATCCCGTAAAAATAAACACCACTGGTACAGAAACTTCAAGCCTATAGCTTGAAGCCCTATGTTCCACTGGGAACGTAAAGGAATAAAACAAGACATTCAGTATGGTGCTGAGTTCTATTTATTCCTTGAGTTTATATCAGCCTAATTAAACTTCAGTTTGCTAGGCAAATGTCTACCTAAAGTAACAGGCAGTTATTCAACAACCACTTATATCTCGATGTAATTGACAATGAGCCAGACTAATTATATGAGGGCTAGTGAAACTATCTAACTGCCCAAACCACCGTAGATGGAGTAGAGTTCAAATCTCTTATCCTGTGGTTACAAGTCTAGCTACTAGACACTAATAAACCACAACTATCTGAAGTATGTACCACTACTTGCATTACACATCTGTCATCTTTCTAATCAAATCTGCCTCTATCTACTTTGGAAGTTTGTTATAAGAAAAAATTCACTGATTTCAACTAAATTTTCACTACATATTGAAATTATTTAGTAATTTTTATTGAAATTAAAAGGACGGCTTTTTTATTATACTTTAAGATAGTTCAGTTGCATGGAACAGATTTCTTATGTTCCAGGTTACGAGGCATACAAATATTGTCTAAGGGCTGATAATACTAACCGTTTGCCGCAGTTGAAGTAAGGATCGAACCTGAGACCTATTGGTTGAAAGTTGATTGCTTACACTAATAAGCCATATCTTTAGAAGATGCCTTATTAGAATTCCTTTGTTTTGATGCTCGAAATAACTTGTCTACATATTGAATGAAGAGATTTAAGCTAGAACAAAATACACATGTAGGCTGTTGCTCAATGTTCATTGGTTAACTGGTTACTGTTGTTTAAAATCCTATAATAGCTTGTCATTATATTCATAATTTTTTTTATTCCTTTACGTTCCCAGTGGAACATAGGGCTTCAAGCTAGAGGCTTGAAGTTTCTGTAGCAGTGGTGGTTATTTTTACGGGATGGGGTTGCTAGCCTTATGCCCAACACTCCCTCTTTACCAGTCTTATTGCTGGATTAGCGAGGTAAAGGAGTGCGCTGGTGGCCGGGGATCGAACCCTGGACCACGTGAAGCGTGGTCGGTGAGTACTCTACCACTGTGCCACCGACGCACATCGTATTCATAATGATGATTGTGTAAAATAACTTTGTTTTCGAATTACTTACCATTATAGAATCTAATAATCTCTGTTACATCCATATCATAATAGATAATAATATCACGATAATATTCAAGTAAAGCCAATGCAAAAAATATACCAAAATCATACGACACCAGTCTACGTGATGCCCAGATTGTTTCCCAGACAGGAAATATATCATCGTATTTCAATTCTATCAATAAAAGATATAAAGTAATAAAAAAAGTTGAATAAAGGAAAGTTATTCAACAGCAAAGGAAATATTTTACTGGTTAGTTGACAGAAATTTGCATAAAAGTGCGACAATTCAAATTACCGATAGGTGTTACCTCAACATGATGGCAAGTGTCTGCATATCACAATGACTCAGTAATCCAATACTGGCTGCAGTTAATGTTCCTGCTCAGCCTACCATGCTAGAAAGGTCGTTTGGATAGAGGTTAGACCAAACGCATAAGTCGTTTGCACCATAAAAGGGGACTAAGGGCGAAGTCGTACTGCTAGTGAGCAAGGATGCAACAAGAGTAAGGTGTTTCCTTTAGATGATCAGAATGCCAGTTAAGCTGTTTCCTCTTTAAAGACGGGAAAGAGGAACTGGGGTTATAGAAACTCAATACTGAAAATCCTACATCCTGACTTACTCTGGGGTGGTACATAGTCGGCGGTAGGATTTTAATATGAACACAACTTCAAGAAAGCATTTAAAACAGATCGTGTGTGATAGACCTCAAGAAGTTGTCCCTTGGATTCTGTGGTCACAAAACACTAATGCTGATTCTGTCTTATCACAAGCCATTGAAATTATTGATTCCTGAACGAATGAATATTGTTCTTGTCTTATTTCTGCATTCCAATGAACACTTTAAATTTAGAAATTAGTGTAAATCATCTAAGTAGATCTGTACCAGGCATCAAACGGGAGACCTTGTTGACTATTCAGTCAACTGGGTCTGAATTCAATGACTTGTGAATCTTAACTTTGTCAGTTTTTGCATATGGCACTACACCACCAACCAATTTCATGAATCAGCATCCACTTTACCTTAACATGGTAGACGCCACTGGTCACGACCTCAGGAAAAGCATCCATTAGCTGCTAGTGAGTTGGAAATAAATATTTAGATTATTTAGAGATTTTGGATATATTTCAATGTGGATTTCGTCACGAATCAATTATTGAAAACCAGGGAGTACTAGAGAGCCGTTTCTCTCTACCACTTCACTCCCTTAGAAATAGAGAGGGCTAGTTCCTCATATGCCAGTTTACGCCATCTCTGGCGTAGACGTGATATCCGGCTGGGTGTCGACCAAAGGGTGGGTGTACTGCTCAGCAGTCCGCTTTGTCCTCCTATATGGTGCTGTGAGACCTGGCTATTGAGAGTGGAAGACATGAAAAGACTAGCTGTCTTTGACCATAGATGCCTGCGTTCTATCTCCCGTGTGAAGTGGTATAATAGGGTGAGCAATATTGAGGTTAGGCTTCTGTCGAGTGCTAGGTAAGGAGGGGGAATCAATAGACGAGGCTGTGAAGTTACATCGATTGAGATGGTTAGGACATGTGTTACGCATGCATGCATGCTAGCCATCGCCTTCCTCGACAATGGGCAATGTTAGCTGACATAGGGTCAGGCTGGAAAAGAGCCAGTGGTGGTCAAACCAAAACATGGCTTCATCACCAGTCAATGAAATCCACAACAGTTAGTTTAAGCCACGTAGGAAGGTGTAGACTGGCTTCCTGGTTGGGGTCCTCGGGACGATAAACACTAATGGCTGGAGACAATTGGTGATATCTGGCTCAAAATCGTTCTCAATGCCTGGCGTAGATGCATCCACTCCTTGTGACTTATAATATCCAATAAAACTATATTGTTCTTCAATATTACTATTCTTTTTGCCTCATATCTCTGTTTACTGTCTCTATTTTGCGTTTCTTTTTACTTTCTTCTTCTTCTCTGGCTTTGTGTGCTGAGTGAACTGCTGCACACCGGTGCAAAGTTCTATGTTGAAACCAGACAGACAGACAGTTTGAGACTCCTCATCAGTACATATCCGTAACTTTACCAGGGATCGATAATAATACTATTAGTGAATATCATACATCCAGTGGGCAAATATTTTCAAACCATTATATATTAACTGGGTTTGGAAGTATATTTCCATAACAGATATGAATACAAATCAGAGTCAAACGCAGTTCAGTGCCGATCGTTTTCGCAGCTTTAAGTCAATAATTTATCAATGAATTCTTGTAGTTGATATTAATATATTAGAATTTAACTGGTGGATGGTGACTAGCAGTGGAATCCAGGATGCGCATTTCGTCCTATTTGGGACTCGTCAGCTATGGATGTACCTCCATTCCCCAGTGAGTGATGATGTTCCCACCGAGGCTCGAACTCAGTGCCCATAGTTTCAAACGCCAAAGCGTTATCCACTAGACCACTTGGGCCACAAGAGCCACCTCTTGTGCAACGGGTCATATTAATTATTCATTACATGCCCAGACATTGTTGAAGCATCTGCACAAGAAGCCAACATGTCAACCTGAGACCGAGCACTTCGGTCCAATCAATCGACGGGAAAATCTAAAATTCAATTAAATAATTGATATTAATATATGTTCATTAAAAAATAAGTTAAAAGCAAAATATTGTGTCGAAATTTTCAATATTGAATTACCTCTTTTGAAATCTAATAATAACCAACGATATGAGAAGAATAATTGTCCTTCAGGTACTTTTTTCGATAAATGCTGATTCATTTCTGGATCAAAAATCTAATCATTAAAAAACACAAACAAACAAATGAAGGATAAAACAGTTCCAATGAGCAGAAAAAAGAAATCTCATCGCCTATCTTGCTATGAGAATCTACTGTATATGCACTGAAGAGTCATTGAATAAGGAATTGGAATCCTTCAGAAGGACTCTAATCAAAAATCGATATCTAACCTCCTTTGTCAATAAACATCTAAAGAGAAAGACCGATACTCCTTGAAACTTGGATGCGCTGGAAAAACAGCTGATTGTAAATCTGAAATTAAAGGGAGATACAATTAGGGACCTTTTCCGAGGCGGCCTGTCGAGAGCGATTCCAAGAACATTACTTCCCACCTTCACCATACATGTTCTTATTCATCAAAACATCAAAGACAAGCATAGTGGTAACGTTGATGAATGTTAATAAGTATGGGACCCAAGTCCAGGGTTTCCTGCTGATGTTTTCAGGCCATTTAGCAACAAACTGAGATACTACAAAGTCACTTCACGACTGATAGAGTAGAATGTCAACAGTAGGTCAAGAGATATGATAAGTGTTAGACACTGGTACGTATATTTGGGTTCCAGAATCTACTGAATGGTGAAGATAAGATCAGTACACCCTTCTCTGCACCTGAAATCTGTCTAATTCACTTGAGTTATTTTTTAAAGACCCATTGAGTTATCGTCCGATTATGGGAACTATTTAACCAAGCTAATCCCCATACAATCATATATAGGGGAAATTACCACAAGAAGATTTAAGAAGTCTTTTCTCAAAAACTGGGATAATCAATAACCTACACCAGTTTGTAGCAACTAAGATTAGTTAATATCTTGGTCAACGTAGTCAACATAATCATCGCTACCAGCCTTGAGCACTTCTGAATTCCTTCTAACAGATAATGCTACCTTATCATGTCGTCTTGTTTCTTCTTAGAATCTATCAAAATCTCATTGTTCTTGAAGATCATTGCATTTACAACGGACTATCCAGACTTTATTTCTCTAAAGGAGCCTAAACAGTTGATGGACATCATTTATTGCTGATTCTTTTCTCATTTCATTCGCTTGCAGTATCCACTACTGTTTATGGACTTTGCAAACAAACAAAACTAATTAAATCACATGTGTCACATTTATTTTATTCCCATAACACCTTCACAGTTTACAAACTATTAAAGAATCAATAGGAACTGACTGTGATATTTTCAGCAACTAACTACAGATCATTGTCACAACTACAAGAAGAAATAAAGGTAAAGAGATCTAGAAAATGTATAATGTTCTACATGAATGTGGTGTTCAAAGGCGACGTTCTGGGCGACATCCTTGAAAAGACCATTTTCAGATACTTCAATATGATTGGTATTCTCAAGCCGCCCATTGTTCTTCAACAACTCCAAAGATAAACTTTCGTATATATATATATATATATATATATATATATAGTTTGTTCGACGCGTGCTTTATCCAAAAGAGCCCAAGAACATTACGCCACTTGGCTAGGAAAGGGTAACAGTGGATCAATAAAGAGTGTTATAATTGAATATACATTCAACATTGGTTCTTCAATATGTAAGAAGAATTCATTCAAAGTTATCTACAAAGTCAAAAGAAGCCTCTCGAAAACGCTAAGCTTCCGTTTACTTTGCATTGCTGAGGCTTTAGCGATCCGGATAGAAAACCCTGATTTATGTACACAGGAGAAACTTCTCCACCCCCTCCTTCTACTTCGGGTATAATTTCAAGTTCCACTACTTTGTTAATAATGCTTTTTAATAAATTTTTTATGACTTTAGTAAAATCTTTTTCTTAACCAACCCTTTATTTACTCTTTCTACCTATTACATAATTTATTTTGGACGCGTATCTCTATGCCCTTTCTGGGTGTCTATCACACTGCATAACCCTAGTCAAGACTTACTAATCTTCACTCTCCAAGTTACAATTTTGATTATTCATCACATTTTTGAAACGTTTTGATGATGTAAACAATAACCCTAACGAATTTCTATGTATGTTTAACACTCCTGATGTGCACGCATACACACACACAATAATTATCTGTAAATGTGATGGTACAGCTAAGTGAATGAACTCGCCACCGAAACGAGACTCCTCGTTGAACATTTTTGTTTTTTATATTCATATCTGGTTGGGTATTTTCCATGAAATAATTATTTTATTTTATTTATTTTAAAAGAATTAACACTATGGTCTTATTTCATAGTAATTTAACACAGCCATATTTTTAAGCTGCATTTTCACTTTTGTAGTGTATGCTACTAATAAGGACTTATAAGTAATATATTGTGGGTTTGTTGTCTTTTGCAAGAATAATGAATAACAGAATAACAGTTTAAGTGCGAAAGTGGAGAAAGGAGAAGATCATTGTGAAACAATATCGATCACTTACGTCTGTAGAAGAGAAAGATATATTGCATAGTCGATGCTCTGACGGACCAATACAAAGATCGATTTATAGAAAACCTATCTGGACAAGACAGTAACTTTGATTATTACTGTTTCTGTCCTGTTAGGTAAAAAAAGAGCCTTAGTGAGGTGTCTCTTCAGTAGAATCCAACGAATATGTAGTGAAGACACACTAGATGATGGGTGATCTTAGCAGTTTGATAACTCGACAAAGATTGAACACTGCAGTTGAATAGACTTTTTGTGCAGCTAAGATCAGAATAATTGAGAATATGAAACTGTTATATCTACCTAAACCCTTAGAGCACGCGAAAAATGATGTCACTTCCCACTGTATTTACCAATTTGAATGTACGTTTGGACATACATACATAGGGAGGACTCATCGATCTCTGCAAGTAAGGTCTTCACAGCATATTCCAAAATGGCTCCAGAAGCAAATGGAATCTTCAGAACTCATTTATGGTGAGAAGAGGAGACCTAGCTCCTCTATTGCGAAACATTATAGAGACAGGACATTAAAGGGATGTTTACACCTCCTGTAAACCTATCTATAAAATGTGTTTGGGGTGTATCTTAAAGATTGGCGAAGCCTTAGTAATTAGTTAGTGTAAACCATCTTTATGTGGTCAGAAACACTGCCATCACATTGAACTTTCCTTAGTAAAATACGTTTTGATACCATAGCAGATGTACTATTACCCCTCTTATTTGGTTTAGTGATCTCCATTGTTATTTTGACCTTCACTATGTCCTTTTAACTTGACCTAAGTCTATTTTTTTCACCTGTTAACTCTTTATTAATTCCATATGTATATTCCTATGACAAGTCCGTTTGTGATCAGATTGTTCGAAATGTGCTGCGCAAATACATTACACGATTCAGACAAATTAAATCTTCTTATTGCTTTGTCTGAATTCATAAAGGGAACTAAGTGTTTTAATTATATATATATATATACATTGAATGGCTCCTTCAAGGCCATTCTTTAACACCTCTGTTAAGAAATGTTAGCTTGCAAAGATTTGAGCTGTCTCAAGTTTGATCCCGGAGAACTATTGGAGAACTATTCAAAGCCAGGGAGTACTGAAAGACAGTTGCTTCGTTCTAGTTTTTGACTGTTCAGTCACACACACCCATGACCCCACTAATGATCTCATGGAGGACCTGCAGGCAAGTTCAATGACCATTCAGACACTAGAATGGAATCTGATAACCGGCCTACGAATCGTGACTTCCATGAATTTGTGATGTTTATTTAGCGCCACCGCCAACCAGTGTTACTAACGAGTTTTTGTACCACTTGGTCTTGACATCTCACCAGGACTACAGCAACTTCACCCTATAGTGAGTCACTAGTGAGCATCAGGTTAATTAATTCATCTTAAGACCACTACTCTTTATCTTCACTAGTTTTTAATGACAGTGATCTACTAGTTAAAGTTTAAACGATAATAATAATTACCGAAAATACCCATTGAGTCATGAAGAAAATAAAAGACAAATTCAGTGAAGAAAACTTTTCTTTATCCACGAAATCATCTTCAGAAGCTGTACAGTCGTATTTATATTTACCAGAAATGTATAGTAGTCTATTGTTGAGTAAAGAGTTCAGCAGCTATCATCATGCCATACAATTCACGTTGGAATCAGAGAGGAACTCGGAATTCCATTTTTTGGATGTTTTTTTCTAAAAAGGAGATCTGATGGTTTTTTTCAAAGATCGATCTACAGGAAATCAACATGAAATGGTCAGTACACGGATTATCATAATTGGGTCACTTTGAGAAGAAAGAGAAACCTAATCCACTCCATATCCTCAAGAATAAGAAGGATATGTTCCAGTGATACAATCGATGAGGAACTGGAGCGACTCAGAGAAGTCCTCAGAGAGAATGGATATCCTCCAAGATTTATCGAGAAAAACATGAAGTTAAAGCAAAAGCCTGAAAGAACCCAGACGGTGCTGAAGAAACTGCTATTTATGAGCGTTGAATTTAAAGGTGATACCGCAGCTGAGATTCTGAAGATTCGCTTATGCAGATCACTGAGGAAAGCCTTCTTTATGGCTGAGCTACGGATCGATTTCTTTAGCCAACAACGTGTGCTTATAAATTGACCTGCTCGTGTGAAGCTAGTTATATTGACCGCACCAAGCGCACACTTTCCAAACGCATCTCTGAACATTATCCTGCATGATTAGAAAAAGGACAATGCAAGGCATTTACTAGCTCAGTTCCCGAGCACTTGATCAACTCAAGTCACGTAGCTCCACCAGAGTCATCTTTCAAGATCATCTACAAGGCGAAGCTAAATGGTACAAAGGGCGTCAGGTTTCGGTCTTTATTATTGCTCTTATATGTTCCTTTTGTATATTTTCACACCTTCTTCATATTTGTTAAATTGATACTCAACTACCTTTATTCTCACTCAATAGCAATTTTAACCTTATCAAATTTCTAACTTTGTGCAGTTGAATACCACATAATTTACAACTTTTAATTTTCAATTCTGAAGCCACTTTTGAGTAATTATATCAATTATGTCACCCCACCCCTCTGATACTCAATAATATACTACTATACATTTCTGGTAAATATAAATACGACTGTACACAGCCTCTGAAGATGATTTCGTCGATAAAGAAAGCGGTTTCTTCGCTGGATTTGTCTTTTATTTTCTTCATAATTAATAATTGTTCAAAACAAAAGTCAAACATATTCACACAAATACATTAAAACACTCACTTCTATTAACGATTGAAGGAAATGAAATCGCATATCCATACATGACATTTGTATACCATTTGTATTCAATAAAATTCTATCATATGGTGAAGTGATCTCGTTTGAAGTTAACTGTACAAGTTGTTGTTGGTGTTTTGTTGTTGTGGCTCAGATTGCTGTTGTTTTTGTTGTTGATCTTGTTTAGTATAGTCCTCACTGACACTTCCACCATCGTCGTTGCTGTCATCGACATGATCTAATCCATTCATCGCTGTACTGGTATACTGTAGTACTGAATCATCTTTTGTTTTATTCAACCAATGTAGATGTTGATGCTGATGATGAGGGGGATTATCAACAAGACCGTGTTTAGTATGAATAATGTCTGCACCAACACCAGTATCTCCTCTACTGTGTACTGTAGTAGTCCGACGTTTAGCTGCTTTCACAGCTAACTGTAACAATGTTTTACGATTTGTTGTTGTTGTCGCCGTCGTTTTCGTCGTGGTCGTTGTTGTTGTTGCGGTTGTTGTTGTTGGAGATGTGCCAGTTGTGCTGTTGATTGTCTCATTCATATTATTTCCCATCACTGGTAGATCTACTGTTTCAGACAACAATGAAGTCGATGTGGATGACATTGATGGCGATGATGTTGATGATGATGGGGATGATGAGGATTGATCAGTAGAATATTATTGTTATTATTGATCAATGGAAAATTTGGTAACATCCATTGCATTAAACATGTGAAACATCCAAATGATATAATTTCATCATTCATGATAATTAATATAGGCGCCAAAAGATCACACATTCCTTGAATATAACCAACATCTAAATTTAACCATACCCATGTTGAGATAATATTACGCAATTTATATAAATTTGTACTTAATTCACTGAAATCATTTGAATTGGAATTTGGAGATTTTTCTGAAAATGAAAAAAAATAATGGGGGGGGGGAAATGCAGTTACTAAGTGTTGATGAGCAAGTGTTTGATTAGTTACAAGTTTGCTCATGAGTTGAAATGAGTTAGGGAATCACTAGAAAGTCAGCTGTTTTGTCTTACTTTAGGATACTTCAGCAGTACGCATCCAGTGGCGTTCGAGCCCAGAACCTTCTAGTTACAAGGTGAGCCCTCAAACCATTAAGCCACTGAGTACTGAGACAAATTTCATGGTAGACTTCACAATCATGAACGCTTACAACAACTAAGACATCAGTGATGTAAGCTGAATAGAAGGATGTATGGATAGATTGATATGGTGATCAGAGTTCTTGAAGAGACCATAAATAGTAAGGAAAAAGTCAATAATATCAATACTGAATCAGTTATACATAAAATATTAATTATTCTTTTTCCTTCACGTTCCCCAGTGGAACATAGGGCTTCAAGCTAGCGGCTTGAAGTTTCTGTAGCAGTGTTTATTTTTACAGGATGGGGTTGCTAGCCTCATGCCCAACGTTTCCTCTTTACCAGCATTATTTCTGGCTCAGCGAGATAAAGGAGTGCGCCGGCCGAGGATCGAACTCCGGACCATGTGCATGGTCGGCGAGCGTCCTAACCGCTATACCACCGAATCACCAAAGTGCTTAGCTCGAGGCCTCGCCGAGACTCGAACTCGGGTCACTGGATTCAGAGTCTAGAGTGCTAACAGCTACACAATATTAATAATAGCTTTATTTTAATCAATTTAAAAATCCCTATTGAGTCAGATAAAGGAAAAGGCGTTCAGCAAAGAGTTACCCTTTACGGTAATATCATTCTCAAGCTGTACAATCTCATATATATATATATATATATATATATATATATATATATATAGTAAATTGTCTTAGGAACAAAAGGAATATTTCGAGAGTTATTTCGTTAGAATTGCAAATTTTAGATAACAAATTACAAAGAAAACCTTCTTCACAGCAGAACTTAGACTAACTTTCTCCATAAAATCAATGATTCGCATAAACGCGAAGGATAAGCTATTCTCTGCTGGTCTCATCAGTGTTTATCTATTAATTCACCTGATCGGTTGGAGCTAGGTATATCGGCCATGCGCAACGTTTGCCATGCAAACATACCATTGAACACTTATCGTCATGGTTTTATAAGGATGAAGAAGGTCCCCCCACCGAAGCTCTCTCCTAAAACACCTGATCGAATCTAGACACCAAGCTAACACACAAAATAATTTCAAAATCATCTGCAGAATACATGGAAATCTCGCTGAGAGAGTATGAATTAAACTTCTTCAAACCGCAGAAGCAGTGGCCTTTCACATGTTAAATCCCGAAATCTGCATACAGAAGTTTAATTAGTCAATAAATCTACAATGTATTCGATCTGTCTTAACACTGGTTACGCAACTTTTATTTTTTGTATTTCAACTATATTATTCTCTTCTCTCGCCTCATATTAAATTTCTACCCTTTATTACCTTTGTTGTAAAGTTGACTGTTGTTCAATTTAAGTTAAATTCTACTCGATTCTGTCAGTCGTATTATGTCACTTAATTTGCTTATCAAATTTTATTCTAGTTTTTACCCGATTAATGCCTTTTATATTACGTAACAATACTTTGATAAAGCTATTAGCATTAAATAGCGAAACGTCAGTAAAAACAATATCGTTTTGTTTTTCATTCATTGGGAAATACAAAAACCTTTATTATAATGAATACGTAATTTGTTATCTAAATGTTTATAATTCTAATCACAAATCTTTGGAAGTATCCCTTTTGTTGCTAAGATAATTTACTGTGTATGTATGTGTGATTGTATAGCTTGAAAGTGAGATCGCCGAAAAGATTATCTTTGTTTTAGACGATGTGTTAACACATACTACAGAATTTCCAGTGTATTTAAATTGTAAAATATCTACTCTTCATATAGTGTCTTTAAGTAAAGTAGTATTCGGTAGTATATCATGTGTCACTGTGTACTCAAACCACTTCTTATTTAAACTTATTTATTTACTTAGACACAAGTAATCTATCACTGGTGACATGGCTCAAAATCGTTCTCAATGGCGCAGATGCATCCATTCCTTGTGACTTATGATTTCCAGTTAAACTGTTTCGTTCTTCGTTATTACTATTCTTTTGTTTCACACTTCAGTTTACTGTCTATATTATGCATTTCTCCTACTTTCTTCTCTTGCTTTGTGTACTACATGGAGTGTGGTGACTTAAACTGTTGCACATATGTGCAAAGTTCTATGTCGGAAACAGACAGACAGGTTACATCATCAAAAGTTAAAATATCAGACCAAAGAGTAGATAGGTAACAATAAAATCATAAGACAACTCCTCAAGGACAATTGAACAAAGTGAAGGTCATCAGGAGAGACAAATATTTCAACCATGGAGAATTCCTACAGTCCATTTCATATTGAAATTAGTGCTAAAGGTATTGTCCAGTAGGATATTGAATCCTTCTATAATCGAACCATTCATCTCGAAGAACACAACAGTACCAGGAGAGTTGGTGAGATTAGCTAAAGAACTTTTCTTTGGTAACATTCAAGTGTTGATTTGTAGGGATTTGATTGATTGGTTACAGGATTTCATCATGAGCTGACATCGGTTAGAGAACTATTGGAAAACCTGCAGGGAGTATTGGACATCTGTTTCGTCCTAGTTTGGGACTGTTCATCAGTAGGCACCCACTGGGGTAATTAACTCATAAGGCTTGTATTTAATAAGCAATGCATATGTATGACTCTCATGAACCTAACTCCTGAGTAGCAACTCACTGGTCTTTTAAAACAAACTTTGAAGTACTTTTCTCTCTGTGTTAACTCCTAAACATATAAACAAAACCTAATTTATAGAATAATTGATAATCACTAGCATTGTAAAAGAAAGAGGCAATACCACTTACTTGGCGTCATGAAGAAGACATGATTTCGATCACATCTTGAAACATCTTTATCGATTCGATATAAATTATCAGCGAATGCATCCAGGATATCTGACTGATTCAGATAAAAACGTGATAGATGGAGTAAAAAAAATGCCAAAATAAATAATACGCATGAAATATATATATATAAATATAAGTATTATTTAAAATTCAAGATAAAATTTCTGACAGCTGAATAATTCTTTTTCGATTTCTCAACAATGGCTAAGAAGGCTAAAGATTTAAAAGCATTTCCTCTTTATAGTATCACACTGTCAAACACCTCAAGTAGTCCTGATAAAGAAAACGCCTTTGAAACTTTATTCAAATGTGCGGAAGCTACTGAGCTAAATTCGGAAGCTTTGATTTCTGATCTAAATAACTAGACTGTTGATGAATTCGAATTCAAATGATTAAAACGACCATATTCAATTGGTTACAGGATTTCATCATGAGTTCATATCGGTTGGAGAATCATTGGTAAACCAGTCACAGGAAGTAGTGGACAGCTGTTTCGTCCTAGTTTGCTAATCTTCATCAGAACGCATCCACCGGTGGTCGAACCGGGGACCTTTCGATTACAAGGCGAGCTCGCAGACAATTAAACCACTGCGACCCAGTCCAATGACGGGCATGTTTCGCTTTTACTTTTACAACTACCAGATTCTTTTATGCATGTGGATTATTTTTCACTGTATTCCGCTGTATGAATTAGATGTGTAGGGCTACTGGACAAGAAACGAACGAAACGGACAAACATTAACGCATTCATGTACAGAAATCAAATTAGCATAGGTAAATGACCAGAGGGGAACTCATTGAAATCACGCCACCATCAGATTTTTACTTCCATTTGGTATCGTTTCAGTGTCCTCAAGGCGAAATTAAGACTCAGGAGAGTAAGCTGTAGCAATAAATAATCCTCCAGAATTATTAGTTAACAGTAATCATTATCACAGCATTGGGTACTAACCTTCACCGTTTGAGTCTACTTGTTAAAGTGAAAATAAGTGGTCAGGCATCCACACCATTCGCCACGTTGTCGTATTAACTTCGGTTGTTCGTGCACGAAGCCTAGCTGGTTAGGCTAGCATCCTCACTATGCGATTTAGATCCCTAAATGTATTACATATTTTGAACAATCATTTTTTGATTTGATTTGTCTCTCGTCTTGGTAGAACAAATACTTTGTGAGTTACAGGATAACCCTTCACACTTTTTTATACAGCGTATCTCTCGTAACCATCAACATGCCTTCACCTCCTAAACTAACATCACCTTGAATTGGCAGACTATTATTGATATAATGGATGACGATTGAAAGTGAAATGAAGGTATGAATGGTGACAAGTTTCGAACTCACGGCTCCACCATTTGAATTGCATGATTCAGGTGTTATATAAGCCATAATTTGATTGCAGTCATCATAGGTAATCCCCACCTCAATAAAGGAATAAACAGTTGTTAATAGTAGAAGTCTTACATGCTTAGATTAAATAAGTGATTAGACTGCACCTTTGTAAATATGAAGACTTGTATCCTCACTGAAATAATAACGTATTTTCCCTTGAAGGCTTATATGGAATTATTTACAAAGTAGTAGGACAGAAAGGGTGCAGGTGAAAACCGACAAACCGACTAAAGAAGCTTGTAGCGAAGACAGGACTCCATGTGATGAAAATAAACAACCAAGAGCTGCAACAAAAATCAGTACCAATCACTATCGGTGGTAGAGATTTGACGGAGATTACTTCCTGCACTTAAAAAGGCAGCACAGTCTCAACTACGGCTGACTCCACAGAAGAGTTTGTCAAAATCAGACAAGATCGGAAGGGCAAAACAGACCTTTATCACCATGAAATCAGCCTGGAAATCGAATGCAATCGGTATAAAGAATAGAATTCGGGTTTTCAATACTGATGTTAAATCAGTTAGTTTTTCTATTTGGGTTAGAAACTTGGCATGTCATGAAATGTACTTCCAACAGATTGCAGACGTTTTTCAACAGCTACTCGCTTCGCTGGCTCCATACTGAAGATAAAATGGCCAGCTCACCAGAAAGATTTAGCCACAAGAAACTCTGGGAGGTGAAGAATGGAACAGCATCCGATTGCTCAACAAATATGTAGGAGAAAATTGAGATGGATTGGGAACACTCTGAGAAGACCATCGGGTAACATCACGCACCGCGCCGTCAAGTGGAACAAGAATGGGGAATGACGACTGAGATGTCTGCGAGTGACATGGAAGAGATCAGAAAATATGGGCAATTGTGTATCCAGCTGGAGAGTACTGTAGAAAGTAGAACAAAGTGGCGACGTGATCTTGAAGCTCAATATCCCACTCGAAGCCCAAGGGAACAATAATAACCGCAACAATAATATAATAAATGACTGTTTTCATGAGATGATCTTGAATGTTGAGTCCACTTGTTGTTTTTGAAGAGGATGAACGACGGAGGGATGAATTATCACTTATAGATCGTTGGTGGGTAAGAAACACAAAGATAACTAAGTCAGTAATGATATCATTAAGAAACTAAATGCATCAATAGGATGTGATTATTTTATTTTAGCTATACTCACAGAAAATTCACATTGTTTTTGACTGGCATTATTTTCTAGTTCATTGACAACAAGTGGTAGTGAATTCATTCCAGCCATTGAGTGATTTGATGATCCTGTTACCTCAGATGATGTTTCACTGAGAATTTCATCACTGTTCATCAAATGAGCTTTAATATCGCCATTGGTATCTATTAATGGATAAACATTTAAAATAAAAAATGTAGAACTTAAATGAAAGCTGTAGTAGACATCCAATTGAAAAGAAATAAATAACACTATAAAACACAAAATAACTGAGCAAAGTATATCCTTTTCGATAAATTCCCCTTCTGGCTCTACAATTATACATAAATATTTATATACATAGAAGATTCTAGAATAGCAGTCAATAACAATATTAGCGTTTTTTAAATAATATCGATTTGTAAAGTAAGATCAATGGAATTACAGTTCATTAAAGATGCTTAAATTATAATAATAAAAATATGATAGCAAATAGAATATCAACTGAAATTAGGGAAATTCCACAAAATTTCCGGATTATTCAAACCTGGATGGCCAAGGTAAGCATAATGTCTGAACTAGCCTCTTTTGGATGCACAAATTAGGCTTGTTAATATGGATCCCTACAGCCTCAGCAATATTTAGTAACACTGTCACGAAATATAAAGAAAGACCGTAATAAAAACTTCAAACGTCATGGCTGAGTTTCAGCATAGAACTTTGCACAAAAGTGCAGCAGCTCAACTTGCCACACCTCGTGCGGGACGCATATGTAGGGAAAAGAGATTCAGTATGACTGTAATAAAGAGAAATGTGAGGTGGGTAGAAGAGTAAGAAGAGGAAAACATGACAGTTCTGTGGATATGAGGGGGGGGGGTTACCAGTCGATAAATATTCTCATTTCAACAGAAATCCAAAAAGAATTATTATTAAGGTGTACCATGGATGTAAATTTGAAATCTCATGACACGATTTACAGACAAGTGGACAGGGTGGTGATGGACTCCCCATTGGGTCCCATTTCGGCAGATTTCCTCTTAAGTAAGCTAGAAAATGGACCTTTGGACAGCCTTATAAGAAAATTCTCATTTTATTGCCGGTATATAGATGACACTTTTATTCTTTGTGATAATCATTCGAATAGAAACACAATAATAACTCAATTCAATGAAGGACATTCTGCTATGAAATTCACATGCGAAAAGGAATCCCAAAACAGAATTGTCTTCCTGGATGTCCTCCTTACAAGAAAACCAGATGGTAGGATAAAAAGAAATTTGCATAGAAAGGTAAATGGACAGGACAATATACACATTTTGATAGCTTCGTTCCTCTCCAGTATAAAAGAAATGTAGTAAGGATCCACAACCACGGGGTTAAAGCTAGATGCTCAGAAGAGGTAATTGAAGGTGAACTAAGGATTGTATGAGACAACCTAATTGGAAATAGCCATCCAGAAAAGTTCATCAAGAAGCACATCACCAAGAAAGCAGAAAAGGGCTATTCTCTATCAGTAAATAAGAAGCCTTTACATATACGACTGCAATTCAAGGGTGACACACCTATTGAAATAATTACTAACGTATTAAGAAAATCTATTCAAAGAACTTTTAAAATTGGCAAACTAAAAGTAATGTTTTCTACACGACCGATGGTGATTCCTCAATTGAAAGATGACGTACCTAGACTAGCCACTTCCAAATGCATGTACCAATTTAACTGCGCTTGTGGAGCGAGTTATACTGGCTATTGCTCTAGGGACTTGATTTTTCGTGCTCATTCGAGAACATCTCCAAGTATGGCTAAATAAAGGTGTAGTAAAAACTATCAACAGTTCGATATTATACCTCCTGGTCGAAACCGGCCACACACCAGGCTAGCATTGAAGAATCCCTTCTCTCTTATCTGTTGGTTACTAAATAAATGCCAAAAACACCCAGGTACCACAAACTCCAAACAGTAGAAGCTATTGCCATTGGCGTGAAACAACTAGTGCTTTGTGTGTAAAAGAAAAAGCAATTCCGGCCACTACTACTGCTCTGGTCAGCATTCAGTGGAGACTTTAAATTCATGAATTTCTATTATTATCTTTCTTAATTTTTCTTATATTTTAGTGTATTGTTATGTTGATGCCATCGAACTATAATCTATTGATGTTGTTATTAGTGATTCGATGTTATTTAGACAACATTGATGTTGTTCATAACACTAATTCATTCATTCACTATAATGTATTTATAACTGTAGAACCTGATGATGAAGTTATCTAAAAGAATGTTCTTTCTTCAGTAACCATTCTTTTGATAATTCATCTACGCCATTGGGAACGATTGGAGCCATATCTCCAATAAGCTCCAGTCATTTATTATTAGCATCTCAAGGACTTATTATTAGCATCTAGCCAGTCAGACAGCAAACAAACAACCTTGCTAATATTATAGGAACTATAGGAACATTTGTTCAAGTAAGGTATCCCTTGCTAAGTCATTGATAATATACAACCTTGAGTATCATACCATATTAGGAGATACCGAAGATTTTGTCACAAACTGAATCTGGTTGCGAAATCACTGAAAATTAAAAAGTACCAAAAAGCTAGTAGACCTATGCTAGTTTGTCACTCTTTAGCAGAGTGTACTGACAATCATATACTGAATCATATATGACGACGACGCTATTATCCTATAGCCATTTAGGCGAAATTCAAATATTCATTATTTCCGGATTCTATCAATTTATAACGTAGCATCATTATCATCCAATTTTACCTATGACTAACTGTCTTCAGATTTAAGTTGATGGTCAACACTAATCAGGAATTCACATAAGAATTTGAGATACTTTATTCTGAAATAACTTGCTAATGCATAGTGACCACGTCTTGTGAGCTGATAAGGTTTGGGTGGGTGTTTGAGATGATGGATGTGGAGTTCCAATCTGAAGCACGCAAGTATTTTCAGATGACGAGCACGAAATTGGACGAAATTCGAGTCTTGAATTCCATTGCTGATCATCATCCACTTTTTATTCATTGCACTATGCCTGTTTGTGACAAAGACAACTAGTCTCCTACCACACAGGTTTAGAGCGTAAAGCATGACTCATTGCATACAATATATACATTTGTTAGTGGTCTTACTGTACTAGCGATAAGTGACACTGAAGTGCATGTTAATATTTAAATCCAGTGAACGTGCAAACTTAAGATTTTCGCAGCACTAGGTTAACACTTGGTCTCGAATTTGTCAAGGAAATCGAACTGAGCAAACGAATTTCATTTGATTTCCCAAGTTTCAAGGTGTTTCCAGTGATTTGTGTAAAATTGATTCTTAATGAATACACAATTATACTTAAGCATTTTAAAGAATTTGCTTATAAGTAGTTATATTTTGTTTTGAATAGTTTCATTAGTAAATTGCTTCTTCAAAGGACTCCTGAACCGATAATCACTTGCGATCCCCCCAGAGGAATACTACCAACAGCACCGGCAGTGGACACCAATCCTCCAACAAAAGTAGAGCTCTTGAATCCAATGAAGCTACTGAAGTCTGAGAAGGCGCCAGAAGTTGATGGAATTCCTCCTAAAATGCTGAAAACAGATCGGTAGACCGCAGCGTATATGATCATGCCACTACTACAAAAGGTTAAGAAAGAAGAAAAGGTACCTTCTGACTAGAAGAAAGGCTGCCCTCTCAAAGTACCAAAGGAGGACGACTTACGCCTCTGCAAAAACTGGCCCGGAATAATCCTCTTTTCCACACCAAGTAAAATACTAAGTCGGATCATCCTGAAGATACACTGGGTGCAGAATTCCGCCTTCCAGAACAAGCTGGATTCAGGAAAATTGTACCATGTGCAGGTCAAGTCGCAACTCTACGCACCATTATCATAGAACAGGGTATAGAATGGTAGTCAAACCTTCGCCTCAATTTCATCGACTTCGAAAAGGCACTCAACAGACAACGTTGACCAAGAAATAATTTGGAAACTACTTCAGCACTAAGGTATACAGTGCCCAAGTCTTTATCAACCTCATTCAACAGCTGGCTATATGATAATGCCACCTGTCAGGTGATCCACACCGGAAAACCCGCAGATGCGTTCGAAGTGAAAACTGGAGTAAGACAACGCTGGCTTCCTATTATCACCGATGATACTCCTAAATGTGGTAGACTAGATAGTGTGGGAGTGAGGAGACAGGAATACGTCGAAAAGATAATAAGACTCTAGAAGATCTGGATTTCACGTGTGGATGATTTATGTCTAATGCCATCTAAACGTGAAGACTTACAGGCAAAGGTCGACAAGTTGACAGGGGAATAAAGCAGCAAAGACAGGACTTCAAGTGAACATGGGGAAAACGGAGGGGATGAAAATAGCCAACCAACAACAAAAACAAGCATCAATCACTATCAATGGAATGGATTTGAAAGAGGTCACTTCCTTCACCTATGTAGCTGTGCAGTATCGCTGCAACTACAAGCTGACTACACCGATGAAGATGTCAAAAAATGGAGCGGGAAAGGCAATGCAGACCTTTATTAATCTGAAATCAGTGTGGAAATCTGCTTGAGTGGAACCCGAATGGGAAACGACGAGTTGGGCATCTGAGAGTGACATAGAGAAGATCCTATGAGGAGGAAAGAAGAGCTTATCGTAGATCCAATTGTAGACCCACCTAAAGAGGATTGCTAAGAACATGACAAAATGGGAATGTGTTGCTGAATTCGTATATTTCAATTAGAACTCAAGGGAATAATAATATCAGACAAAGAAAGCTTATTACCATGACTGCATAATTTCATCTGAGATCTCAAGATGTTAACAACATCTTATCATTGTCACATTGAAGCGTTTGCGTGTTTACAAAAAGATTAGAAGTGAAAAAAAGTTATACATTTAAAAATCAAAACGATGACTAGTCTTTACGGAACATTTAATCATGTAAAGTTTTATAAAAAAAAAGTAAAACTTACTAACTGAATTAATTTCGCTATGGATTACACCATTTGTTTGTTGTACATTGACGGTATCACAAGTGTTTAATCCGTTTACTTCTTTAGCAGGACTCTACATATAACATGAATACACCATAATTGTCATATTCTTTGAAATACACTATAAAAGTTATATAATTTATGCAATAATCTATTTATTGTGTTACTATGCTTGTATATATTCTCAGTATTATATCACAATATGGAAGAACTCAATTACCTGGAATAGATTTTCCATGTATATATAGGGCTGTAATCCATACATATTCTGTCAGGGCTTGTGAAAATATCCATTTGGCTAAACTGATTTAGAGGCGGAGTACGAAACAAACTACCAACCCCTTGTCTGAAAGCCGTGTTCTAATACGGATGAGTCAAATCTGCGAACTGCTCACTAGTGGCTTGGCCTATTCAGGAAGGTAGTTACCTCCTGGGTTCCAGTGGGAAGTCGTAACTAGTGCAGTACAGCAGGTAGGGGTTGAGGACAAGTACTAGCCAGCAATGATATTCACTAGTGGTCGCGCCATATCATGAGTTGGCAAAAGTTGGAATTCATGGAGTGGCCATTCGATCGGGTGGGTCCCAGTGGCTTAACGGTGTACGAGCTCACTAGTCTTGTAACTAAAAGGTACTGGGTTCGAACCCTTTGTTTATGGTATAACACAATTAAAAGAGCCTTTGTATCCTTTATAGCGAAGTTTATGGTAAGCAAATCGATATGTGAGAGGGGTTAGGAGATCCAGTATTGATCGGTTTTAGATAAAATCCATTATTGTTTGATATTTGCCAAACTGTAATAATTAATCGAAGATGTATCTCACTTATTTTTCATACAGTTAACGGTGAACATTTCACAATGGCTAGTGACTGACTGATTGACTGAGTTTCAGTGCAGACCTAATCGCAAAAGTTAAACAGTCCAAGATGTCACACTCCATGTAGCACAAAAAGACAAAGAATAAAGAAAATAGTTTTGATTTTTTGATTTTGATGACTGAATTTTGTTTCTTTGCCTGTTCTCTAATTGCTTATAATTCTAGTATTCATTTAGAACTCTTACGTAATTTCGTATTATCTATTTTGTTCCTATGTGCATCCTGAGTAAAACTCACTCATCAAACTATTCATATTATAACATAACTTCTTTTAACAACTGTTTATGACAACTCATCGCCTTTGTTTCTACCCTAATTTCAATAACATCTAATTTTCTTGACTGATTTTGTATTACGCAACTCCAATTACCAATCTTCACCTGTTTAGCTAAAATAACTATAACCAATTGTATTTTTGTTTGACAAACTTAATGTACACATACATACAAAATAACACATATATTTGTGGTTGTACAGCTAAGAAAATGAATTCTCCGAAAAGAGACTCTTCGCTGATCTACGTGTTTTGTTTTCACTAATGCCTGGATAGGGATTATACATGAATTGAGAAGAAATAAAGACTCAAGAAATCTTTAATTAGCAGGAATATGTAGAAGAAAGAACATTTAACATGAAATTACATGAGGGTTTAATAGATACGTGAGATCACAAAGCATGAATGGATCTGAGCCACTGACAATAATTCTAAAGCCATTGGTTTTTAGCCTCCCGAAGATCTCAGCCATGCGGTCTACACCTTACGTTGCTCAAACCAGCTGTTGAAAACTTCCGTGATTGATTGTGGATTTTGGTTTGACCAACCTTAACATTTTTTCAACCTAATTTTATATCAGTTAACATTGCTGGCTGAGGAAGGCGGTAGTTTGGCATGCGCAGAATGTGTCTTTACCACCTCAGTCGATGTAGTTTCACAACCTCATTGACTAATTTACCTCCCCCTCCCCCACGCCCTCTTGCATAACACTCTACCGTGCTAGGCTAGTGATCGAAAACTGTCCATCTTCATTGTCAGCTATATTGCCTTCAGTATTATCTCACGGATACATGATAACTTCATTTTAACTGCTAACGAGTTTCAACTTATTGTGTGTATATTACCTGAAAACGAACGTTTTATTGTTAAGAAAATTATACAGTGTACGCATAACACAGATACAGATTGAAGCTCAGAGAATAGTAACCAAGCCTGAGGAAAAACGATTCACGACTTAAAGTCAGTTTTAAACTGCTATTCCAAACAACATAAGCATAATCCACGAAAAGACTATAAAAAAACAAAAACAAAAAAACAATTAAAGGCATTATTTAGAGAAAAATATTGTTTTTTTCCCCTTTAGAAACTTACACATTGTACTTCACTAGTATCAGTTGTAAAATTCTTAGCATTAAATGTTTCACATTTGATTGGTTTACTCCCAAGGAAACTAGCATATTTAGTATCTTGTTGTAAACAGTCAACAACACGATTCCATGTATTTAAAGCATTTGTATAGATTTCAGTTTGTTCTTTATTGATTACATTCAACTGTTCCCTAGTTGAATCCCATGGATATAAACCCAATAAGTAAGGCCATACCTATTATTATTATTAAAAAGAAAATAAGAAAGTGGAATGTGTTAATAGTAGAAGTGAAATTTTCAGAAATATTTATTAACAAGGGATATGGTGTACTCTATCAATGAATATCCCAGTCTAAATGAGTGCTACTCGGGTAAGAGGAAAAAATGAAGCATTTCTGTACGTCATAGGCCACATATATATAATAGTATTAAATTATGAAAAGGTTTAGCTTTAAGACCTGGTGTCATGATGTTATTATGAAGCAACATTTACTGTCACAGACTAGCAAGTAGTTTGGGTCAAGTTAAACTTTAAGCACCAGTAAGTACCAGTGAAGTGTAACGGCATCAATTACGTTAAAACCCCTTAGTAAGCAAGCTAGTGAAGCCTGGTAAGTAATATTGTAATCATGAATAAAATATACTCAATGAAGTGTTATGTTATTAAATGGGATATCTGACAAGTTTCAGGTTAGGTTTGGGAAAGATTAAGTTAAGGTTTAGGCTAAGGACAGGTTAGGGTTAGGTTGACCTAATGAGGACTACAATAGAGTTGATTCGAGTTAGATTAGGGTTATTGTTAGGGTTAGAAGACCTAGGAAATAACATGCACAGAATGTGGTTAAATTACTCTGTTGATACTCCAATCCAAAACTGTATAATAGTTTCATGCCTTTTAATTCATTATTCTCATGAATATATATATATATATATATAGTCAGGACGACTTGGGTTCGAACTGTGCTAAGTGCGCACAGCCTAAGAGTTCTAAACTAAGGTGAAACAGCTGTCCAGTATCCTCTAGTTTTCTGTAGTTCTCTAACTGATATGAACCTACGATCAAACTTTAAATAATTTGTTCATTTTTGAAGTCAGCTGTAAGTTGTGACTGCACACTTGTATAGGTTGTATGTTGCGTAAAATCGTTTGAAAAATTTCCATATCAGATCGACTTTGAATGCCTGCTAGATGCCTGGACTTCTGATTTCCCTTATGGAAGTACTATAGTTGAATGGTTGCTGTTATAATCATTTCGGAGATAGTATTTTTTTCAACACAACAGCATATACTAAAAAGGCATCTTCCTGAAACAAACAGTGGCTTTCTCAACTATACAATGCTAAGCCCATACAAACAATAATATGTATTCAAGTGTTACTTTGCAGGGATTTCGTACTAGTTTCAGGATTTCATCAGTACACACCTACTGAGGTTTGAATACAGGATCTTCTGGTCACAAGGCGAGCTCATAGACCATTAAGCCACTGGAACCAACCCGATCCAATGGCCAGCCCATGAATTCCAACTTCTGCCAATTTATGATATGGCGCGACCATTAACGGATATCATCGCTGACCAGTATTTGTCCTTACACCCGACCTGCTGTACCCCAGTGGTCACGACTTCCCATTAGACTGAAGATACAAAACTCGAATAATAAGACATTATTCAAGTATACAAATGAAGTGAAAAAATATTGTCAAACTTACTTCATTTCTAATCGTTGGATCACAATTACCAAAGTATATATGTCGACAAAATTCATTGAATGTAATTTTCTGTAAAGGGAGTAAATAGATGAATACGTAAAACGTGTCTTTTTAATAAAAATAATATTCATAAAAAATACCCATTATATCAGTTTTCCATTTGACTTCAGTTACCCAGGGTTATCAGATATGGGGCTATGATCCACACCTAAACATTGGTGATAATACTGAGTCGCCTAAATTGAAGCAGGTGTCGTTTGTACTCACTTGGATGGAATTCAGGCACTAAATAGAATAAGCTAATTTTAATACGTACCAAGTGATTGGTAGATAAATAAAAATATGACCAGTGTGTGTTCACTTGACTAAAACGTCGTATATATCTCATGATATAATCTCGTCTACATATAACTTTGACTTATCACAAGTAAAACTCTTCAGATAAACAAAACGTATGACTGTTTCTGTTATAAAACAATTTTAAGCTTAAATGAACAAGGGATGAATTTCACGTGTATAGACAAAGACACAGTCAAATGAACCGAAATTCTGGATTTCTTGTCACGCTCTTACTGGATTGAAGCTATCAGTCCCTTGTTGGTATGTCAGCTCATAGATATACTTCTCTGGGTTTAAACTTGATGCTATGTAATAGTTGATTACTAGTGGGCATCTTATCCCCTGTTTAGGAATCGTCAGTCAAACGAGGGAACCGCACAAAAGTTAAAGAGCTGAAAGAATGATGCAATATTAGCAGTGTTTGGTTGCCAGATCGAAGAAGACAAGGGCCAGGCAACAGATCGTTTATTGAAAAAATCAACAGATATTTATAGATTTTTATGTATATTATTATTCGTTATTGTTAGCAGAGAAGCAACGTCTTCTGATTGGTTGTTTCCCTGCTGAAGGTTATTCTGTCATCTCTTTGTGGCCGTTTCTTAGACAGTCCGGTGATATATCTGCGAATCGTATCCGCACACGCTAAGTCTGCTGTGACTGGTTGTTGAGTTCCTCAAGGTTAGGCTTTGTTCTTATTTTTCTCATGACCCCGATTTAGGACAAAGACATTGACGTCAACTGTTGTCTACAATTTTGTCTTGCAGACAGCTCTCACCACAATATGAGCACTAGACAGAATAGCTTGGTTGTCCTTGAGCATCACATATACTTACATTCTATCTGCTGTGTTAAGTAGTACAATTTGGTGAACGATATAGAGGTTTGGAGTAGTCTCATGGCATGAACCTGGCAACAATCGATGAAGTCTTTGACAGTCAGTATGAGACAACCGTGTAGGAAGGTGTGGACTGTTCGGTTAAGGTCCGCAGGAGACTGAGAAACAATAAGACTGTTGGTGATATTGGCGCTGATGCATTCACCAATATCCATTAAACCATTATGTTTAAATCATATTACTATTCCCTTTCTCGCATATTTATGCTTATTATAGATTCTTCGAGTGTCTTTTTTCTCCGTTTTCTCTGCCTAAAAGACGAGACACTTGGTAAAGGAATGTTTATTTCCAGTTTGGTATCTTTATAGAGCCAAATTATGTACACCTTATCTTCAAATCACCATTTGCACAGATCTACCGTGTTGTGCTACTTCTGCGCCTACCTTCATATTGTGTTTCCTTGTCTTCTTTTTACGTGTCCCATGTATTTCAGCAACGCTGTATCATTCTCTTTCTCTGACATCAAATCTATCTCCCTGCTATTTGATATTTTTACGCCAATGAACATCTCTTTATATATATACTACTGATAAATCTTATCAGTAGTACACGCCACAGTGTGGCTAAATGGTGCCTAGTAAGTTGAAATGCTATGCTATGCAAAGTTCTATGTTTGAGAATCCGTCAATTAGAAAAATTCAAAAACTAAGTCAAAAATATCTGTTCAATGGTTTTCAGTTTACAATGATTTTTTAAATAGTGTTTATTTTTCTTTTTTATGAAATCTACATTTAAATGAAACAAATTTTCTACAAAACGCCAAAAAAATCTGAAAATCATTCTCCACTTACTGGTATAGAGTTTGACATTAATTGTTTCCAAAACTCTACAGTCACACCTTCTTCAGCATTAGTTGGACTATCAACAGTCAGTAAATTTGTTGAAACAAGATTAGACAATTTTTTGCGTACAATTTGAATTTTATTAAAATATTTATACCCTGTAAGTATGCGGAAAAAATAAAACATAAAAACCAGGGGTTGTAAGCTTCGTGTTGTTGAAATTTATTTATATTGTAAACTGTAGAATTTGAAGTGAAATTTCAATAGAGTTTTTATTTGGAAATTTAAAATATTTGAATGGCAATAATGTCACTTGTGTCTTATGTACACAAGTGACACACACAAGACACGTTATTACGCAAAGTCTGCTATGATTGGTTGTTGAGTTAGTCTTTATTCTTGTTCTCTTCTCATGACTAAGATTTAGGAAGTAAACATTGACGTCAATTGCTGTCTACTAATTTTGGTTAGCAGACAGCTCTCACAACATAATAACTGGCATTCGCCTATCACATCACACTATCAAGAGGAGAAATTCGAAGGGAGACACTTCTTTCACTTATCTTGGTAGCATCGTTCCAACTAAAGCCAACTCCACAGATGAAAATGTCAAAGCCAGAGTCTGAAAGGCAAGACACACCTTCATTACTCTGATATCATTGTGGAAATCTGCTGCATTCAGCATAAAGAACAAGATTCAAACTTCTAACACTAATGACAAGCCACTTATTGTACATAGTTGAGAGACTTAGTGTTACAGCAAAACCATTTCCAGCAGGCCACTACAAACTTGTATCAACAGCTGTCTTTTTCTCTGGCTCTATAGTGAAGATCAGAAGGCTAGTCAGAAAGGGTATGCAACAAGAAACTGTGGCAAAAAACCAACCAAAAACCGATCACCATACTACCAAAATAACGAAGAAAATGGAGATGGATTGTGTGACATTGAGTGCGTGCCAGATCCTCGAGGAGAACTCGGATGGAAACGGCGTTTAGGACGTGGATCCGAAGGTGACATAGAAGATATCATGTGAAAGGGGTAGATTAAAATCTAATGGTCAGTCGTGGAACCAGCCTAAGGGGACTGTAGAGAACTGGATGAAATGGAGGTGTGTCGTTGAAGCCTGCATGATAATAATCGATCACTTCAAAGTAATAGTCTGTGAACACCTAAAAATCACTAACTAAAGTTACAAAAAGTAAACAGAATGAGTCCGTGGTGGTTAAGGGGTAGAATGGTCACTAATTACGCACGTGGTCCGGGAATCGATCGCCTACCGATGCACTTCAAAACCTCACTTAGCCAATAGTAAACCCAGTTAAATAGGGGAAGTTGAGCATGAGGCTAGAAACCTCACTCTGTGAAAAATCATAAATACCATTGCTACCAACACTTCAAAGCTCAAAATCAGTATTGTTCAAAATTTAAACGAAAATACAAACAAATATTTACCAACTTACATTTATGAAATACATGGGATAATATTTTAATTCTTAATTTTGTGCATACATCAGGAGTAGTCCGTTTCTCTGTTAACCGTACTGTCTCAGCATCACTTTCAACATTTTCATTATCCTCATCATTAGCATTGCTATCATCAATATTTTCTTCTGAAATGCCTTGTAATGAAATTTTCCTTGACATTACTGAAGTTTTAATGAAGTCAAATCCTGTTGGAGAAGTTTTAAACTTTGGTGATGTCTATTAACAAAAAAGTAAAGAAAAAAGAAAACAAATCCAGAAAGAATCAAAGGTAAATCAAAGACTTACATGTCAAACTATTTTCAAGTATTGATTGGCAGAGAATTTAATCAAAATGTCAAGTTTCATTATGAAATGACCAGTTGCAAAATCATTGAGAACTAGCAAAGGTATACTGAATGACAGGTGTTTCTCCCTTTTTTATGACTCTTCAACAGTACGCAACTACAATCGCATCAGGTGATTTTCAGGTTGCAAGAAGAGCACTTGGTGAGAATTTAGTCACAGAGAGGAAATCCAATGGCCAACCCTCAAAATTCTAACTTCTTGCAATTCGTAATATGTCCTCAGTCTCTCTTTTCCTTTTTTCTTGCTTATTACATGACTTACCTCTTCCTAATGAAATCAACTTCATCAAATATGATGACGACCTGACTGTCTGTCTTCCTGTCAAGCTCCAATCTGACTGTTGCAAACTTAAAAGCTTTTTTTCGGACATCAGTCAGTGGTCTAAGCTAAGTGGTCTTATGTTAAATTCCTCAAAATGCCAGACTATTGACTTCTCTTTTAGACATAAACGCGATCTACAACGACTGATTAGTACACATGATGCTTGTAACATAGAGAAGACTTTAATAGAAACTAGGTCTAACACAAACTACCCTGGTATAGTTCTATCCTCTGACCTTACTTGGTCATCCCTTATTTTATCGATCTCCAGGAAGATGTTCCTTCTAAGCTACTGTAAATTAAGAAGCTAAAACAATCTGGAATCACTCAAACTCTGCTTTAACAATTTGTTAATTCGTGTATCTTACCTATTCTACTTTACTGCTCCCTTTTAGTCTTTCTTGGTCCACTGAAAAAGGACTTTCATTTTGAAGAGATAAGCGGTGTACAACTTAGTCAGCTTGTCACTACATTAGCTGATAGACATCTAAAATCATGCAAGAAAGGGTCTAAATCTATGTTGTCTGACCTTCAACAGCCCCTCTATTCTCAACTTCCCTACCTTGTATCTTATCTGGCAGGACTAGAAGTCAGTACAAAGGATTACATGCTCGTACTACCAAGTATAAGAAATCAACGATACCATATTTGGCCCGTGTTCTATGCGATAGAGACAATTTTAAGCGCAAAACTTATGAATTACTATGTTGTTAGCTAAATAATCGTCCTTTTTTATTATCTCCTATTTGTAATCTATGGTGACACTATCTCAATTAACTGACGGTCTTAGCTACTAACATTATTATTTTACAATTTTTATATGTTTATGATCTTACTATCACTACTAATACCAAATAAGAACTGCCATTAACAATCGTGTAATATTATTTTTATAATTGTTTTTAATTAAATTCGGTAAAATAAGATGCAACAGTGTACCGAATGCTGAAAATTCCACCCTGTGCCATTTAGTACTGTTTTGGAATAAAGCAAATTATTTTTGATTGGACACTAGTCAGTAACTAGTATAATGTGTCTAGTCCTTTGTTTGGTGCAGACTGAATTCCACCAGTCAATCCCTCAAGGTTGCAGATACGCCTTGCTGACTGGTGAGTGTCAACTAGCACGAAACCTAGGTCAGGCAAGGCTTCCTGCCAATTTCCTCCAACCATGATAGCGAGCCACCTAGAATGGTGGTCACATTGCAAACATGACTGATAGAATTCAGTCTGCACCGAAGATAGGACTAGACACATTACACTAGTTACTGACTAGTGTCAAATCAAAAATATCCAATACAGTCCTACAGGAGGTCAATCGTGACCCTGAATAGCTGAGTGGTAACGTCTCTGACTGCAGCCCCACAGGGTGACGCAAGTTCGAATCTCAGAAGAGACATGAGTTACTTTGAGGTTGCAGATACGCCTTGCCGATGAATGCCAACTAGCAAGAAACCTAGGTCCAAGGCTTCCTGCCGATTGCCTCCAACCATCTAATACCAACAAAGCAAATTATTATTATTATTGTCAATCTAGCAGGCAAGTCTGTCTGTCAGTATTCGACATAGAACTTTGCACATATGTGCGGTAGTTCGAGCCGCCACAATGCATGTAGCACAGAAAGCAAGAGAAGAAAGTAGAAGGAATGCATAATATAGACAGTAAACAGAGGTGTGAGACATAGGTATAGTAATAACGAAGAACAAAACAGTTTCATTGGAAATCATAAGTCACAAGGAGTGGATGCATCTGCGCCATTGGAACGATTTTGAGCAATGTCACGAATTGTTTCCAACCATTGGTTTTTACCGTCCCGAGGACCCCAAAAAGGAAGTCTACACCTTCCTATGTGACTCATACTAACTGTTGTGGATTTCATTGACTGATGCCATGTTTTGGTTTGACCGCCACTATCTCTTTTCCAGCCTAACCCTATGTCAGCTAACATTGCCCGTCGAGGAAGGCGATGACTAGGCATACGTCATGTTTTAGCAGGCAAGTATTGGTCCTCACGCCCAAATTGATGGACACCTCGTTTTATTACAACCTCTTATTAAGAATTCAACTACTTATATATGTATATATATATACTTACGACCACTGAGTCCTCGTTCGTCAAATCTACACCCAACACGCATACTAAGAATGACGCAATGGTAACACCAAAGAAATAGAAAATATTATCACCAATAAAATCGAAAGACATGAAACTATATATAAACAAATTCTAGAAGTTATGCAAGCGTCATGATATGATAATGGGCAAATAAATTGTATTCTAAGTGTTACCAGTATGCTTTATCAAATAGTTCACGTGAATTAGAAAACCAGTGGAAATCAAGTAGTACCTAGTTGAAGACTTTTAAGTAGGAGTGAAATTACTCACCAGGTGGTCCACATGTGAAACTCAAATGAGCAACGATAAGTCAGCCATTAGTCTAAGAGCTGTACAGAAGAAATCATGTGAGGAGGATTTGGGTAGCCAAATAAAAAAATGACTGCACAGAACAGAATAAAGTGGCAATGTACTGCTGGAGCCATATATATTCCACTCGGAACCCAAGTGGGGATATATTAATAGTGCTATACAAAAAAATACTTTCACCTACTCGTCAGTTGTGAAATATAAGAGAAAAATAATAAAAGTTGACACCTACCACACCACCAGTTTTTGATACAATCTGATATGTATGCTGAACAGGAGATTTTTCAGTTGATGATGAATCCAAAGACGGTGAAATACTTGTTCTACGTGAATCTTCACTATTCAACTCATCTAATTGATTGAATGCTTTCAATAGATTCAGATATAAACGATGTTTAATACCCCCACCACCACCACCACTACCGCTGCCAATGTTACCACTTCCTGTTGTCAATGGTATGGATTGATCTGATTTAGATGATTTCAGTATAGCAGTAGTAGTAGTAGAGGCAGTAGAAGATGAATTCATTTGAGTTAATGAAGTAGACGAATGAGATATTAATGAGTCTAATTTACTATTGCTATTGCTATTATTAGTATTATTATTTATAGTTGATGGGATTAAGGAATTACGACTAGCGAAAATGAATGGCATTGATGGACGATAGGACTTGTTGAAAAACGACGGTCCACCTGGTTGAGTGAGAAGAAGACAAAGAAGAAGAAGACAAAAATGAATCAATACATAAACGTTAATGTTTGCAAAGTTATTCAAAGCAATCCAAAAGAAACACATTACATAACAATGCCTATTTGACCCGAAAAAACAGATGACAAAATGGTTTTCATTCCTTTGAGTCTAGATTGAAAGACAGAACTTCAAACTTTAGTTGTGAATATTCAATAGAAGTGGTGTTATTCTTATGGGGTGGGAGGTAAGGTTGTTCACTTCCTCACGTCCAACCTTTCATCATTTCCCGACTTACTACTAGCTAAGGGAGGTAAGGGAGTTCCCTTATTCCGGAGTCGAACGCTGGATCACGCGAATGGTTGGAGATCATTCTATAGCCAAACCACTGATGCAAATGCTTTAAGGTTTACTTATTATGAATTCAGAAAGTTTTTTATACACCTGCTTTTGCTCTGGATTCGCACTTCTTTTACATTGACACTGACTTCTAGACACATTGGATGGTTATATATTTAGTTGGTGGTGACTAACAGTGGAATTTAGGATGCATATTTCATCCTATTCTGGACTCTTCACTCACTCCCAATGAGTGATTGTATTCTCGCAATATGTGTGTCCTGGAAGGGCATATCTACGATTTTCTGAACATGTACCAAAAAGCTTACGTTTAAAGGGAACAAATGCTTTAAACAGTGCCATCGCCAGACATCTCCTCGACACGGGTCATGAGGTGGACGTCGAAAAGTCGTCCAAAACTATCAATAGGCAAAAGAGTTCAATTCTCCTCAAGTTTGCTGAAGCCATTTCCATCAAGCGCCTGAAACCTGATTTATGCGTCTAGAAAGAAGCGGTTATCAGCCTTTCTTTGCCCTGGTAACTGGATATTTTCATCTCTCTTTCATCTGAATGCGTAATGCTGAAAAGTTTTCATTGTGTATGATTATTATTGTTCGGAATAGTGTTTAATATTGCATATATATATATATATATAATTAGTGTATGCATATATTGATCGATTGATTTTTGTTTAAAATGAACTCTGTGCAAGTATGTTAAAATTGTTTTTGTAGATACATTTAATAATGTCTTTGGCCTGTAAGCAGCTGACGAGAAGGCAACGAAATGAAAGATGGTACTACTTTATTCTGCTAAAACTGTAGTTCTTGCTTTGTTCAAATTTATTAAGGGGAATAAATGTATGAAATGTCCAGTATTACTCGGTTTTCCAGCGGTTCTCTAAATGATATCAATCCATAGTCAAACGAGAAACAAATCTATTTATAAGAAACTAACTTCTGAGAATATTTGGTTAAGACTACGTTGCATCAGCATTTAAACCAATCAATCGTTAGGATCTATTCATATAATATCAATACCCAAAGAACCATATAATTACACGTTTACGAAGTATATGTATATATATATATATATTAATTGGTTTAAAAATAAGGTATACCTACATGGTGATGTGGCTGGTAGATCAGACGATGGATCTAAATAGCCACCAAATTTACTTAAACCTTGTTCTAAACAATTTAAAAAGGTAAGAACATGACTTTGAGCATAGAAATGAAATGGTGCCAGTTGAATACCATCATTACGAATTAGTATAACTGTGTATTGGTCACCTAAAGAAGAAAATATATATATCATCAAATAAGCGAATATGAAAGGGAAAAAGAAATTAAAAGCTGCAGCAGTAATAATAATAATAATAATATTAAGATATGTTATTAAATTAGTGAAATGTGAAATTGTGGTGAGAGCTGTCTACTAGCCAAATTGGTAGACAGTAATTTACGTCAATATTCACGTTCCCAAGATTTGTCGTGAGAAAATGTGAACAAAGATTGATTCAAAACCGACCACAGCAGACTTTGTGTAGGCGGATGCAGTTAACATATAGAGGATTTGACATTCAAGAAACAGTCACAAATAGATGAAAGATTAACTTCCAGTGAGAAACAACAATCGAAGACTGTGTTGTTGCTTAATATCATAGTAAGTAATAAAAAATAAATGCATTCCTTAATAAATGATCTGTTGCCTGGCCCTTGTCTTCTGTTGTTACAAAATTAGTGAAAATATGTGTCCAAACTATGGTTCACAAATAATCTTGTTTGTTTGAATGATTCAGTAATATGTCAGCCCTCAAATTCAAACAAAACAGCCGTCCAATGCTCCTTATTTTCGACTGACTATTGTTATCATTATTCCCTTGAGTCCCGAGTGGAACAAACAGTACATCTCTATCTTTTCCTGTCCTCTACAGTCCTCTTCAACTGGGCCTACGGTTGGCGATAAACCCTAATCTTCTCCTCACATTCGGGTTGCACTCAAGTAGATTTCCACACTGATTTCACACTGATGAAAGTTTGTCTTACCTTTCCAATTCTGGTCTTGACATCCTTATCCGTGGAGTCGGCTGTAATCAAAATGATGCTGCCTAGATAAATGAAGGAAGTGACCTTTTTCAAGTTTCTCCCATTGATAGTGATTTGTGCTTGTTGTGGTTGGTTATCTGCATCACCTCAGTTTTCTGTATGCCCATCATCTCTAGTGCCTATCACTTCTGTCAAGTTATTGGTTTCCACTTGTAATTCTTCAAGTTTTCTGTGACATCAGAGATAAATTCTCCTCGAAGTTCAGATCTTCTAGAGTCATCTCATCGGTGCAACGTATTCCTGTCTTCTCACTCCCAAGCACAGTCTGATTCATAATACAGTCCACCACAGTTAGGAATATCATCGGTGATATATAGCCTTGTCATACTCCTGTATTCACTTCAAAGGCTTCACTGAGTGAGTTTTCCGTTGTGCATCACCTGATACGTGCCATTGTCATATAGATGTTGAACGAGGTTGATGGTAATTTGGGCCGCTCTTTAGTATTGAAGTATTTTCGTTGTCAACGCGATCGTAGGCCTTTACAAAGTCAATGAAGCTGGGGTAGAGATTTGACTGCCATCCTATACTCTGTTATATGATGATGTGGAGAGTTGCTATTTGATCTGCATATGACCTTTGTTTCCAGAATCCAGTTTGTTTCAGTCGTAGTTCTGCTTCCAGTGCATTTTTTTTCTCTTCACGATGATGCGATACTGACTTATGAATAAATATAATTTTCGTACTGATCAAATCCTCATGATTGCTTTGACTAATCTTAGCAGCCACTAATACATACACACTGTCATTTTGCTGAATTACATACATGGTCAACCATCTACGCTTTTTGGCACCGTGTCATGCTATGTCGATCATTCGTGCACCAACCCTAACTAGTTAAACCGACATCACTGTCCTACGTTTTTATTCCCGAAATATATCTCATATTTTAGACGATTAATTTCGTAATTCCATATTAGTTTATTTATTAGATGTATCACACAGTGAAACAGTATTATTTACTGGATGACAAGGTTTCGAACAAAATTTATTGCGGTTCATAATCATATCATCAATTATAATCACACAACTTCGAAACTTGAGTTTTATAATTTTCTTTGTTCTCTCCTATTTGTTGTCGTAGGGGTAGTAGAATTTTCCAGATATCTGGGACAGGTGTTGAATCATTCCTAATGCACGTATTTGCAGTTGATTCGATAAACAAAGCTTCTGTTATCAATCTCTCCCTCCACCCTGTGACATTAGATTTCAAAATTGTCATCTTATCCCATCCTGTTGTATAGTTGTGTGTAATCGCATGTAATGCAGTGCTATAGCTGAACTATTCTCTAGATTTCTTATCATATTCGGGTCAACTAATCTAGATTTTGCCAGGTTTTTATGCTCGGCTAGTCTGACTGCCCCTGTTCTACTACTTTGACCTATGTATTTGACCTGACAATCACTGCAGGCAGTGTATTAGATAAACCGAATTGTTTTGTTTTAACGGCTCCACAGGATTGATCCTTTAACCGACAAAGCTTGTTTCTAATTGAGTTTATGGGTTTCATTGGCAGCCACTTTTATTCCTGCACTGTTAAGAATTCTGCGTAAGGTGGTTTCCGAGGTTCCTTCCTTGTATAGAATTACTATTGATGATTTAGATTCCTTATTGTTGGTGTTGTCATTATCTTGCGCATGTTTGATATGCACGTCGTCATTAATATTACTATTATTATTATGATTGTTATTCACTGTGTGATATATCTAATAAACAAACTATTATCGAATTACTTACTACCACAGTGCCCAAGTTTCACACATGTATTAATTTGGTATTTTGATTTGCCTCTGGTCTCAGTAGAACTGTGGCGTGACACAGATTGATAAAAAGCGGCCGAAACAGAGATCAACACAATTTAAGTCAATGGATGCAAAGGCAGAAGTGTTTATCCGCCAAATGTGTAACTAGTTTACGTTGTGGTTTAGAAATAACCTCACTGGAAAACCTTTTTATCAACCTTGGGCCAATCACCAACCAATTAAAGCAATTTATTGTCCACTGACCAAGCCAACTTTTAATGTGGTTACAAATGTGTACAACTGTGATGTGTTTTTTCCTTAATAAAAAATTCCCTCACCAATTTTCTTATCTTCTACCATTACAGAATGAGTACTTTTCGAGTTCTAGGAGAGAAACTTGAGTTTATATGCACCCTTCATCTTCTAAAGTAGCTTCTAATATGCACATTATTATACACTAAATAGTGAAATAATGCGATAAATAAACTCCATATGTGTAATCCTCAAGGTCATGGGAAAAAATCTTACAGAAGCTTACTTGATTCATGACAATGAGCATAAACAATGTCATCCATTTTAATTTTGATTGCATAACCCCAGTAGGTTCTGAAAGGAAAAAAATGAAGAGAACCAAGAAATGATAGAGTATATTAAGAAAGCTTAGAAAGAGAAAATGATGATAAGAATAAATTCAATCAGTATTTAAACAAGGCTGCCTTCTGTCTCCAATGATTTTCCTGATTGTGATAGACTGGATAATGCGACAAACAGTGGGCAATGAGGAAACAGGCATAAAATGAACTCACACAAAAAACTTGGAGGATCTGGACTTCATCGATGATATATGTCTGATTTCCTACAGACTGGAAGATATGCAAGCGAAAAGCAACAAGTTGGCAGAAGAAGCATCAAAGATAGGACTTCAGGTGAACATAGAGAAAACAGAGGTAATAAAAATTCCTGGGCAACACCAACAACAACAACAACTGACAACAATCAGCATAAATGGGAGGAACCTGAAAGAAACAACCTCCTTTACCTAACTGGGAAGCATCGTTTCAACTACAGGCGGACGGAACTGACGAGGATATGAAAGCAAGAATCGGAAAAGCAAGACAAGCTTACACTACTCTCAAGTCTGTGTGGAGGTCAACAGCACTCAGCATCAAAAATAATATCCGGATTTTCAACTCCAATGTGAAGTCAGTCAGTGCTACTATACATACGGATCAGAGACTTACACTGCGCGTCATAAAGAGCATCTCAAACAAACTACAGACCTTCATTAACAGCTGTCTTTGCTCAATACTCAAGATCAGATGGCGGGCCAGAAAAGATCAGCAACAGGGTGGGATCTCTGGCAATGACCGAACCAACACAACAAGGACCGATTGTGCAACAAATATGCAGGAAGAATGGGGGTGGATTTGCCAAATTCTAAGGAAAGAAACCATCAAGTGACATCGCACGCTAGGCCATTGCTGGAGTGGAACCCAAACGGTAATCGGCTAGTTGGTAGTCAGTGCGAGGGTGGGTTGACATGGAGGAGGTGATGTGAAGAGGAGATGAAAACATGTGGGCAGACGTGGAGCCAGGTGAAAACTCTAGCAGAGAACTGAACGCAATAGAGACGTGCAGCTGAAGCCCTATGTTCCTCTAGGAACTAAAGGAAATAATAATAATAATTAAGTGTTCATTACAGTTTACTCTTAGATGCCAACAGGCTTAAAAATATATTCATATTTCATTTTATGCCATATAGAAGGATATGGTCTGTTGCATATCCAACGTAATAGGAATGGCATCTTTCTGATTGTTTCAACAACTTTTAGGAGTAAGCCACGAAAATTTGTTTCATCCATCAATCAACAAAGAGACAGATATATATATATATATAAGTGTAGAGCCAGAAGAGGGAATTATTGAAAAGAATGTTCTTCGTTCAATTTTTTGTTTTTTTCTAAATGTCTGCATGAATATTTTGTCTATATTGAAATCTTCTGAAAAAAAGCGGTGTTTAAGAAAACGCTTTTCAATACAAAATTCAAACTTTTTTCATATACGACTGTCGCTTCAGATGCACATAAGTTAATTGATGAGATTCAAACTTTAAAAGAGGTTGAATTTAACCTTATAGATAACAGTGAAGGCGTCGGTGGTTCAGTGGTAGAGTGCTGGCCGACCATGCTCATGGTCCGGGATTCGAGTCTCGGCCAGCGCACACCTTTATCTTCGTTAGCTGCTTATAATCCCAACAATGAGTAGAGGTTGGACGTGAGACTAGCAACTTCACCCCGTGAAAAACACCACTGCTACTGAAACTTCAAAGCTAAAGCGTGAAACCCTATGTTCCACTGGGAACGCAAAGGAATAAAAATGTCTGCAAGACAAAATTGTAAGCAACAATTGACGTCAGTGTCTTTGTCCCGAATAGGGGTCAGGAGAGAAAACAAGAACAAAGCCTAACCTTGAGGAACTCAACAACCAATCACAGCAAACTTAACGTGGGCAGATACGATTCACAGACCGGACTGTTTAAGAAACGGCCACAAAGAGATGACAGAATAACCTTCAGCAAGAATACAACCAATCAGAAGACGTTGCTTCTCTGCTAACAATAACGCTAATAATAATGTACATAAAAATCTATAAATATCTCTTGATTTTCTCAATAAACGATATGTGTTGCCTGACTCTTGTCTTCTGTCGTTACAACGTAACCTGCAAAGTTGTCCTCAAATAAAAGATTTTATCATCTTATGCTTATCTTTCATCTAACACACTACACTATGTTCAACTGTCAATTTCCACAGAACGCACTTACGAAGTTAACATTTTAGAATATGCATATTTGACACGCTTAGGTAGACACAGATTGTTGTACACCCCAGGCATTTATCCCAGCATATTTAACACTGAATAATCAATAAAATGTATAAGACATGAGCATTAAAAACAAAAAAAAACAACAACAACAGTACTAAACTCACTCTTTATCACCAATACTATCAATATCCATTCTTGAATCAACCAATGAATCCATAGATGAATAAATATTATTATTACTGCTACCACAAGTATTACTACCAACAGTATTGATATTATTGATTGATAATGATAAATTCTGTTGATTTGTTACAGCTGAATTTGGTGTCCATTTGAGTACAATCAATTTACCCGATTCACCGTCAATCAATGATAAGTATCCAGGAATTGGATCAGGTGAATTAGGCTTTGAATAAAAAATAAATAAACAAGCAAAATAAATAAGTATATAAATCAAACTATGCATGTGATCTGGGGTTCGAGTTCCGACCGGTGCACACACCTTTACCTCCCTTAGCCTGTTATAATCTAAACAAAGAGGAAAGGTTGGACCACCCAGTAAGATACACCACTGTTACTGAAATTTCATAAGCTGTAGCTTGAAGCCCTATGTTCTGCCAGGAACATTTAGCAATAAGATAAAATGCCGCTTATGTGGCTGGTAGAACTTTTTTCACTGATCAACTGACACACACCGTAGTTGTTGTTACTTGACAGTTGGAGGCAATCGACACAAATCCTTGGACCTAGATTTCGTGCTTGTTGGCACTCACCAGTCAGTAAGGCGTATCTACAATCTGAAGAAACTCATGTCTCTCATGGAATTCAAACCTGCATCACCCAGTGATGCAATCAGAAACATTAACTACTAAGCTATTCAGGCTGGCAAGTGACCTCCTGTAGGAGCGTACTGAATACACCAAATAAACGACTAGACGCATAACATTAATTGGTGTCCAATCAAAGTGCTGACGAGTGCCAACAAGTACGAAACCTAGGTGAAGAAAGACTTCCTGCCGATTGCCTTCAACCACCTAACAACAAACTTGACTGATGACAGAATTCAGTCTGCATCAATACTACGAATCACCTGACTCATGATATTAGTTAGTGTCCAATCAAAGACGCAAACTAGTCGATAGGAATATCAGTTACTTGAATAAACACAGAAACAGAAAAGAAAAAGAATGATGATATAAATACGTCTAATTAAACTTACTGGTTGCATTAATACATTATTCTTTCCATATAATAATCTACTTTTTAAATTTTGATGCATTGATTCTACATGATCTTTAGCTGCCATTGCTATATCTTTAGTTGATTTTTGATTACGATTTGTTTTAGTTGAATTGTATTCATTAATTTGTGGTAGAAATGCACATGAACCAGTTCGTGATCCTCGACTCATAAGTAGATCATTCTATTCAAAAATGTAAATAAATAAATAAGTATGAACAGTAGATGAGGAGTTAGTGTGTGTTCATTAGAATTAGAACAAGACATATAAGCGAACAATATTATTGTTTTCAATTAGATCTTCTTCAGGCTTTACTTTAATTTACACAGATTTATTTATAAAAAATTTTTAACTAATGACGGTGATTTTGTGGATCAAATAATAATAATAATAATAATATGGTAAATGTTTTGAACATAGTCAATAACGATGATTATAATGATGAAAAATAGTAATAATAAGTTATATATGTCCAAACCAAGTTCACTTTTAACGGTTTGAAAAAATTTGGCCATTGGGTTTATGTGATATTCATTATAATAAAGGTTTTCTTTGCGTTTCCCAATGAATGAAAAACAATACAATATTGTTTTTACTGACGTTTCGCTATTTAATGCCAATAGCTTTATCAAACTATTATTAAACCGGAATTTACAATATATATATAACAAACAGTTAGGGGGTGAGAAAATAGACATAGGTCAAGTTAAAGGGATATATTGAAAGTAAAAATAGCAATGAAGATAACTAAACCAAATAACAAAGGTAATAGTACATCTGTTATGATATCAAAATAAAGTTTACTAACTTGATTATCGTTCATCTGTCTGGGGGCATTTTTAGTTGTCAAGTTGGTCAATTGGTGAAGATAACAAAACCGTGTGTAGATTGTTGCATTTGATCGGTGTGTAAAATTATAAAAGTAGTGTGTGTTTACATAGTGAACTTGCTTATCACATTCGTGTTGATTTTGTCCCTTGATGAAGGAGGGAGGCGTTGTAACCAGGTCAGATTCTGTTTTAGTCCATCATTCCTATTCAGGCAATTTTGATTCCACTTGATATGAAGTGCTTCTGATATGAGACGTTCTTTGTGATTTCTGAAGTTTTTCTGGATTATTTCAATATTGTCAAAATCAATTTTGTGGCCTGATTCTATAGCATGTAGACCTACGGCTGATGATTTTTCAAGTTTTTGTAGTTCAACGGGATTTCTCGGTGGTCGAAGAGATGCTCTACGGTGTTCATTTCTTCTGATTTTGATTTCTCGAGATGTTTGTCCGACGTATATCGCATCACATTCCAAGCATTTTATTTTATAGACACAATTAGATAGAGAATCTTTAGGGATTTGGTCTTTTATATGGACAAAGTTGCTTTGAAATGTCTCTGATGTTTTGAAGAAAACTCTAATGTCGAGCTGATTGAGTACTCTTCTGATATCGTCTGACGTCTCTGCTCTATATGGAATGACGACTGTTGAGGTCCATGTTTTCGGAATGCGTTTTCGGCCATACTTAATGTTTGTGTTGATTTTGTTGATGAAGTTCCTCGGGTAGTTGTTTTGCTTGAGAGTTTCAGTAATGTTTGATATTTCTTCTTCTTTTTCTTCCTCGTCGGTTATCAGAGAGTGTGCTCGTCTAAGAAGACTTGAAACAACTGAAATCTTTGCGCTGATGGGGTGTGATGACTTGAAGTCTAAATATTTATTTCAGTGGGCTTTCTTCCTGAATATGGATATACTAAAATGTCCGTTTTCCTTTCTCTTAACTAGGCAGTCTAGAAATGGTAGTTCACCGACGTCTGATTCTGCTTCTAAAGTGAACTGGATTCTGGGAGATAGATTGTTTATTTTCTACGGGAATAAACTGTGTAGATCTCGTTTTAGTACTACAAAAGTATCATCTACATATCTCAACCATATTTTAGGAGTGAGTATGCTTGAAAAAATGTTATTTTCGAATTTATTCATGAAAAGGTCGGCGACTATTGGAGAGACTGGTGAACCCATAGCAACACCATTTGTCTGTCTATATAAACTCCCTTTAAATGTAAAATAATTATTTTCTCGACAGAATTTTAAGCTCTTAATTATTTGACTGGTGTCCAGTGGACATCTTTGTCATAGCGTTGTATCTGATTCTAGAAGACTGGAAATGATATCAAGACTTTCGGTAATAGGGATACTAGTATACAATGAGTTAACATCATAGCTTACCATAATGTCTTCTTTATCAATTTCTCGGTGTTCTATTTGGGATTTGAAATCATATGAATTCCTCAAAATATTTTGAGTGTCCTTTTGTAGTGGTTGTAGTATCGAGAGTAAGTATTTAGATAGTTTGTATGTCGGTGAGTTGGTGAAATCTATTACTGGTCTCAATGGAACCGTGGGTTTATGTATCTTTGGTTGACCGTATAATCTTGAAGGTACATAAGACTTTGGTTTTAGGATTTTCATCATGAGCTGACATTAGTTAGAGAACCATTGGAAAACCTGGGAGTACTGGACAGCTGTTTCGTCCTAGTTCGGGACTCTTCATCAGTACGCACCCACCGTTAGAGTTCGAACCTAGGACCTTCCGGTTACAAGGCGAGCTCGTATACCATTAAACCACTGGGACCCGATCCAATGGCTAGCCTATGAATTCTAACTTCTGCCAATTCACGATATAGCGCGACCCCTAGCCAATGTCTTCGGCGAGTATTTGTCCTCACACCCTACCTGCTGCACCCTACTGGTCACGACTTCTCTTTTACTTTAAACCAGAAAGGATTTCCAATTTTGGGTTTCATTTCTTGAAGGAGTCTGTTTGTATTTAGTTTAGTTAATAGTGATAATAAGGTTTATGCAGGTGGCGATAAGAATAACAAAGGTGGTAATATGTGTAAATAAATTAGGTCAAATCTTAAAAGTTACATAATACTAAAGGTGAAGTGGACAGATAATCAGAGTTTAAATAAATATTTTAAAAGTACGAAGGAGATGGAAAATAAGAAATGGTGGGAGGGTTTTGAATAGAATTCACCTAGGCAAAGGGAGAGACAAAGGTAGAACAAACTTCTTTTGTATGCAAAGACTAGGATTGTTCTCTCGAATTAATTCCCATAGCTTCGGCTATGTGTAAAAGACGGGTTCGAATTCCGTTCGAAAGGCTCGATGGAATGCGATAGATAACTTTGAAGGCACTACTTTTGTCCACTTGGTGACCGCTATCAATCAAATGAGCTAAAATTGAACTTATTTCAGATTTTATTTGACCTTTTCCGAACTATGAAGGAAGATGCTCATTAATGCGTTTGTTAAGCTATCTAGTTGTCCACCCTATGAAGCTCTCTCCACAGGAGCAACTAAATTTATGGATACACATAGAAGTGGCACAACTAGGTAGCTTATCTTTCACTTGAGCAATCATAATTGGTTGGCTGGAAAATGACAAACAAAGGGTGATGGCAGTATAAGTCCGTTTTATCACTCTCGATAATCTCATATATAAGACTTCGCTAGCCACGTCCCTATTAAATTGCAGTTTCATGAACAGTTGTTTCTTTTCAACTGTTGTCAGTTTCTCTTTATTGTACTTGGTGTTCATGTGTCTCCTTACAAATCTACTAGGATAACCCATTTGGACCAGCGTATTTTGGATGTATCCTAACTCATTTTGTAGGGAGTCATCTGTACAGATCCGTCTTGCTCTATTCGTGAGGCATCTGATCAAATTGACCAGAATTGGAACATTTTCTCTGATGAAAGAAGTAGAAAACATGAATTTTCACCAAGTATATGTGAATGGTAGTATTGTGGTGTGTGCTACTGAAAATATTGATAAGTAGTGTGTAGATACCGAAAATAAATATGTATATCAGCATCGAGAATATCGAATGGCTGTGAGGTGCACACAATGAACGATACTTGAGCAACAACATGGGAGACATGACAGGCAGATAAAGAAGAGCAATACGTAATACAAAGTAGGACAATACTAAAGATATATGCAAACTGTGATTCTACAGTGTGGCAGACATATTTCGCCTATTTTTGTGTATTGAGTTGTAAAAGAAAAAATTCCGTTACCGATTCTGTAGGCTTCTGCTATTAGGTATATCCTCCTGGTTAGTTGATTAATTTAAGTAATTGCATACCACTTATATGAAACAGTAATGCTGTTTAGGCAAATCGAAGTGATCTTAACACCACCTGGCCGTTTCGCTAGTTTCGGGTCGAGATCATCAGTAGTGAATCTAGTTCGACTCAGCTCAGAGAAGCGAATCCGTTCAAACAACTACAATTTAGGCTAGCTATTTGTCCGACATGGTGATACATTTAGGCAGATTCCCAATTTTAAATTGAATTTGGATTTTCCCGTTGATTGATTAGACGGAAATGTTCACCCTATGTTGAGATGTTGGCTCCTATTGCGCACGATTCAACGATATCTGAGGATTTCACATGAAGTAATTTGGTAGATGGTTAATACTTGACTTGCAGCTTACACAGTTTGAGGTGAGATTTAACCACGGTTAATATTTGGAAACCGTAATTATTCACATCAGATATGCGGCGTATCTGACTACTCACATCAACCAATGAGTAGTATAATAGCATGACTCATAAAATTGGAGCTGAATCAGTTCATACATGTTCGCAGGCTTTGTTGATTATTTTTCATACTATAAAGGGGGATATTGAATTTCGCTTTCCAGCGGAAACTGTGGTGAAATTTCCCTTTTTGAGTTGCGTAAAGTACAAATCGACAATTACATTTTGCAAGTGGCTAAATTGGATTTTCAAGTGATGGTTTGCTGGGACTTGATCGGTAACAGGTGTTTGATCACGAGTTGATGTAGGATAGAAAACCATTCGAAAACCAACCAGGAGTACTAGACAGCTGTTTTATCCTGGTTCGAGACTTTCGGTAGTAGGCACCGACTGAGGTTCGAACCCAGGACCTTCCAGTTATCAGATGAGCTCGTAGACCATTCAATCACTGGGACCCAACTCAATGTCTCGTGAATTTAAACTACTGTCAATTCACTATATATATAGCGCAACCGCCAGCAAATGTGATTGTCGAGTAACTATTCTCTTATTTGACTTTGTATACCCGACTTGGATTTTGTCATTCCTTGTATCATCGCAAATATTTTTTAAGTTAATTTTTTACTACTGAATAATAAATAGTA